CTTCATGGATGCATAACATGCAGTAGGGAGAAAAAGGTGCTTCTCACAGGTACTGTTGAATCCTCTGCCTAAAATGTTTGTCTGGGCACCAAACTGACAGCAAAGAGAAGGGGGTATGAGTCAAACTTTTGGGGACATGATGAAAGACTTCAAACCCACAGAGATTTGGGCTCCCAGAGCAGGAAGGATTCTCAGGGTGTACTCTGATCTGTGGGCTGAAGTTCAGTTTTGGGATATAAGTAGGTTTTTAGGCCTTCTCCTAAATCACTTGTATGCAAAGTTAAAAGAAGACTGAAAAGTGGGAACTGGAATCAAGTTTTAGCTTTATATTTTACTATTTTCTTCCTTTCATTCCTCTCTGTGGGGATGTTTGCTGAGGTGCAAAGCTTTCTCTTTCTGAGGACATGAATTGGAGGAAGAGCCAAGGGCACCGCAGATTGATTTTCTGAGTTTTGCTCAGACTGCATAATACAAATGGCAATTCAGTAGGATAAGCTCATTCCTTTTTTCACTTTTATGGATTTCATTAAGAAGCATGAACAGGCAAGAATCTCTCTAAGCAATCACATTACTGTCCTAATTTGCTAGACTTTCATTAGAACAATTAAAGATAAAATGATGCAATGACCCAGTTCAGGACCCAATTAAGACTGAATCAATAAATCAGTAGGTTTAAATCACCACCATAAGGCCATAGACAATCAAAACAAGTTATGAGGCCGAAGCTAAACACAATTACTGTATTACACCGCCATAGGGGAATTTAAAGAATGAAATATTTTCCAGTTGAGGTGCCCAGCTCATCTTACTACAACCAGGCCACACCCTGCTGGGGACCACTGCCTTGGTGCACAGCAAAACAGTCCTCCCAGGCCACCAAGGAGATGTAGGTAGCCCTGGGCATGGTGATTTCCAGGTAGAGATGTCAGGATCCCATCCATCTGTCCAGTCACATTTGGAGCTAAGTCATCTCCTCTGTCTGTCACCAGCTTCTTTGCACAGATAATTAAAGCCCCCAGGTGTCCTGCTAACAAGCCCTTCTTAACCACAGTTGTTGGCTCTTTCCTGAAGGTTTTCCTTCCAGAGGAACTGATGAACAATTGGTTCTGGCCATAGATTTAATGTGAACCATTGGTAAACTCATGCACATGGTGCCTGCTGCATAATGTGACTCTTCTACCCCAAATGATCATCTGTCCAGCATCATGGCAGGTTGTCCTTCAGGGAAGCATTTAGACTACCAACCGCATCAACACATATTTGCAGAGATGCTCATCTTCTTCATGGGAAAAAAAGAACCAAAACAGGTGGCAAAGACTGAAAACAAACACTGAAATCCTCTTCTGTTTCTTGGGATGTTTAACTAACTTTGCATTATCTGGACTTGTTAATGAAGGCTTGGTAAATGCTGAAGTCTGTTGTCCTGGACTGTTGAAGCCCATGACCAGAGAGGCTGTGGTGTCTCCATCATTAAAGATATTCAAAAGCTGTCTGGACTTGGTCCTGGGACACCTGCTCCAGGCAACTCTCCTTGTTGAGCAGATGATCTCCAAGAGGTCCCTACCAACCTCAACCATTCTGCAGTTCTGTCTTGAGATTCCTGAAAAGCACCTCATAAATGAACATATAAGTACTACAAATACTTAGGGAGGGAAGAGGAGTCTCCAAGGTGATTGTCAGTGGACTCAGCAATGAACTTGTTGATGTTTGGTGGCAGTGAAGTTAAACGCTGTCTTCAAAACTCAGCCCTAGCCTGAATATAGCTGAATTCCCTCTCTAGATATTGTGACCAAAAAGTAATTGAAATACATGATAAAATTCTATCATTTGAGTACTGAAAAGGAATAGCAACCTAGTCCCAAACCTTCCATTTCTGTCATGTTCCCCTCTGCTTTGATCTGACAGACACACTCTAATAATATCATAAGGTATAACATATATAATATAAAATTGTGTTGTATTGTATTGTATACAGCTCCAAGTGTGTGCCCCTGCTGAGAACAGGAGTTTATCCACCAACTCCCACTGAAGGTCACCATGGGCTCACCATGACTAATAACTTTGATGGCACAGTTTTTCCCTGGAACAGTGATCTGATCCACCTAGGTGCTACACTGAGTTGTGGTGGATCAGAGACTGGGAGGAAAAGTTACATTTCAGATGCTACTTTGAGCAAACACAAGCTTGAAGATGTGAAATGTGATTCTTTAGTATGGTTACCTGCCCAGCTGGCCTCCAACAAAAAGTATTAGCTTGAGACTTAATATGCATTTCAGGTCACTGTTAGACTGCAAGCTGAGGCACAGATGTGAACACAGCTCTTGCTTCTGCCCGAAAGAAAGAAAATGAAAAACATACAAGAGCATCTATGGCGCCAAAGAAAGCACAAAGTTTATGAGTTTGATGGGAACAACAAATTGCCTCTCAGCTCTATTATTATTAATTTCCCTAAACAAAACACTTCTATGAAGATGATAAACGAATCATTGAGAGTAACTTCATCAGAATATTGAAATTATAAAAAGAAAAATCCCAAAGATTAAAAAAGAAAAGAAACCTTTGAATTTAGGATAAGCAAACAAAGTTTGAAAGACGGGAATTTATCCCAATGTAATCCAGAAAGCCCAAACGCCAAACAATCTGGAAATACTCAATTGAATACTTGCAATGCTGATCCAGATGGTCCTTCTTCCCAACCCCCACAGCTATAAAAAATTGTTATCGTCACAGTAATTCAGTCTGGTTGAGAGGCCACACCAACACAGGGACTCAGATGTGTTGGGCAGGGCACACACCCAGAGGGATGTAGGTGGACTGCCAGGGATGTCCAGAGCTTGGAGGAAGCATAATATGGTTGGAACAGTGTGTCCCCTTATACCTATGATAGCAATCCTAGTGTCCTAGGATTGCTTTTGGGCAGCACAGGCCTGTGTTGTCTCCTCGTGGAAAGATCCCCAAAAATATCCTCACAAGACCAATATCGTTCTGTGGATGCCCAGTCAAACTGGAAGGCAGGCCTGGCCTGAAGGAAGAAATTCAGTGTAGGCATAACCAGAGAGGGTAGGACTGTCTACACTGCACAAGAGCTGTGGCTGAAAGCCCTGCGTAGAATATCTCCTCCTCACCATCACCTGAATGTGGAGGCCCTGAACCACACGGGTCTATCCCTGCTCAGGTTGGATGGTCTTCCAAGTTGGGCACCTGCACATCCTCTGCTTCAATAGGTGTCACTGTTACGCAAAACTCCTCTTGGCCTGCAAAAGGAGCTGCCCACAGCCCATTGGAGCCCTCATTCTGCCAAGGGACAGTGATGGAGAGCAAAGGAGCTGAGAAATGGGCTTGGCATAGCATGAATAAAGGCTGATGTATGGAGTAAGTGCATACCAACACTCTGGAAGCCTTCAAAATAAGGATGGTCCCCTTCCCTCCAGTGCAAACATGGCTGTGGATTTTGGCAAGGTTGCAAGCAAGACATTTTCTGCAGCTGCATCTTGGTCTTGTCCCTCTGGCTTCTCTGTACTGATGTTTTATCTCGTTTGCTACAAACAGCCAAGAGTTTGTGGCTGAGCACATAGCAGTGAAGAAAACGTACAAAGATCAAGTAAATACTGATATGACACCATCAGGGTGTCTTGCATCAGGATTTCAGTGGTCCTGAGGTGATCTTCCACTCTGTCTCACTGGGAGTTGGGAAAAGCTCAGTGCACACTGAGTGACCACTGAGCCTACAGAGGAACCCGTGATTTTAAAACCAAGACACGAGAGGAAGGTTTTCCTGGCTGAGATTCTAAGTTCATTGTGAAATGTGGGTGAGACCTTTATCCACTGTAAGTCTGCAGAATTTGAGCCAAACCAAGAGAGTAACTTACACATGGGTGTGAGTGTGGTCCTTAGTACGAAGGGACGATCAGAGTTCAGGCTTGTGTCATGTGGGAAGACTGTACAGTCTTCCTAGAGGATCTGCCGCTCCTCCTGACAGTGCAAATCATGTGTCTGTGCCTCAGTATCACAACACCACCTCCAACACACTCCCAGTCAGCATTTTTGTACATGGATGTACTTTTCCAAAGATGTACCTTGCCATGGATGTGCTTTTCCAGAGCACAAACTGGAGGCTATTTCATCTGTCCTGGTACAGCCCACTATCAAATCCTAATTCTGTGGCCATAGTTGCATACCACAGCTTTCAGAGAGTTATGGTTGTGGGGGTCGTTTCTTCATTCACAATATGAAAGCTTTATAAGTTAGTTTGCTTTTCTCTTCACATTGCCAAGAGTTGGCCATTGTCATTGCTGTTTGTTTCAGCTCTGCTACTGAACCAGATGTCTAAAACGATCTGACTTTGACCTCAAGCACTGGCCCACCTCCCTGCCTAGGACGTTGGTTTTGCCACCTATTTTAAGGGGGGAGGAATTCTTGTGTGCCAGTGAGTGAAAAACTGGCAGAAATAACAGTGGATAAAATTAAGAATAAATTAAGAATAAAAAGAAAGTCATAACAAACCCCAGGAACACAATCTGGAAGAAAATTAAGCCAATGGCAGAGCAGATACAACAACCTATAGAGACCATTGCTGGCTGCAAAAGTAGTCAGAAACATTAGAGAAAATCCTGTCTCCTTTAATTATTCCCATCACAGGGTGTGTAAGTCACCAGGACCAGATCAAAAGTACAGCAATCTCCAACAACTACATCCCCTTTCCCCAGCCCTGCAGAGATATTCCCAGTGCCCAGGAGACAGCCATGTCTCCATATGTGGACATTCAACATAATTTCCAATGACAGCTTTAGGAAACATCTGAAGGACAAATCACCCTTTTTATCCATGTACATATGGAGCAAATTGGGTAGGAAGAAAATCCCACTATCCCCCTTTGGGTCATAAAGGAATATCATTGCATAAAATACAGTGGAGCAGTGAAGCAGCCATAGAAATGATTCACTCCCTTTGCATACGGGTCGAGACTCATGCACTCAGAAACATCAGACTTCACATCAGGGTGATTTAATTGGGTTTATTGGAGGAAAACAATTAGTCATCCCTTTAAATTGTCATTATGATAGAAATCTCGATATGTATACATGATTGTCAAGGCAGAGAACCACTTGCGATGTAGCCCCATTAACAATTTGCAGTACTGCAAACTCATTATGCAGATAAAACTTTTGCGATGCCTTAATACATGCATGGAGTAAATACACATTCTCCCTTCTTTTTGGACATAGATGCTGTTATGAACTTGTATCAATCACAAGACCTGCAATATTAGGCACACTGACATTCCTTGATTAAGATTTAAGCCTTTGTAGAAAACATGCTTGCATTTTCATTAGAAGTCAACCGAGGGATATTTTGCAGTTGGGTGTATTTGGGGAGTCACTATTCTTGGCAGACTAGGTTTTTTTTTATTGTTTGCTGACTCAAATAAAAGACCTATCTTAAAAAAAGGCCCAAATGGAACAAAATGTTGTTTCTCAACTAGAGGCCAATGTACAGCAGGTCACTGATGTTGGGGTGACCAGAAACATGAGTTGCACCATTATCTCTGACTAAGCTGCAACCCTTCCACACTCTTCACTTTGGGGATCATGCTACAGCTCGATCTAGTAAGATATAGCATGTGTGATGCCACACTGGGCTCAGGGGATGCAAGATAAGAGATGGAAAAGCTCAGAGCTGCTCTGAGCAACCCCCTAGGAGTTCCCACCCACCACAGCACACAATCCACCTCCTCACGGAGCCTTGCACCAGGTGCTGCCTCAGCAATCTGAATTCACGTTAATTTACAAACATTATTAACGATGATTTTTTTGTGCTGCCATATAGTGCTTCAGCGATGGCACAGCATCCTAGCTAAGCACCAGCCTTAAGGTGGGCTCAAGACTTCTTGGTGCTTTTGGCCACCATGGAGCAGTCCCTTGCATAATTTCCAAGGACGGTGCCACCCCCATGGTGCCTGCTCTCCAGCCCTGCTCCTTGGCACGCCCTTGCCAGGAACCCAGAGCAACTTCCCAGTCCTTTCAGATGGTTCATCTTTGAGTGTTGAGAACTTCAGCATCTTTGACACAGCAACCACTCAGGACCTGGGACCAATGCCCTGCTGATGCCCACAGGAGGTTTGGGCTGGAGCTAATGCAAGCACCATGGATCCATCCTATACCCTGCCTTGGAAAGACTAGCACAAATGAAAATGTGTTAATGATTAAGGGAAGAAAAGGCAAGGGCATAGTTTGCATGTGGAAGAAGGCGAAGTACTACACCAAACTCTTCCATGGATAAATGGTGGTACTATTTGGATGTTCGAGGATTAAGGTGGTGATGCTCTGGAAAGGATGGGATAGTTTAGCTCAGCTCTCTGTTCTATTTTGTGCAGGCAAAGAATCACAGCATCTTGGTCCCCAAAATGCAGTTCATTCTGCAAGAGGTGAGAAAGCAATATCTTGTAGGAAGAGAAAAGTACTAAGAATTAAGTGAACCAGTCTAAATTTTCATTAGGAAAAACAATCCAAAATAAAAAAAGAAAAAACAAAGAGACACACCAACATGTTTCTTGGTAGCCCTGGGTGTTTTTGACCCAGGGAAAGAATTTCTGATGCAGATCAAATTTTTAAGTGTTGTGTTAAAAATGGGGTTCTCACCTCCTCAGCTCCCTGTTTCTAGACATGTGTATGTGACTGCTGCATAATTTTAAGCTGATCTGGATGGTGACTCTTCCTGTACATGCTGCAGAGCATTCAACAGAAAGACAAAACACATTACCAGGCTTTGCAGTATCTTGTTTACAAAACATCAGCTTTTGCATTTACTCAAACTCAATGATGGATTTCGAGTTACAGATACATTGAGTAATTTAAAAGCAAAACACAGAAGTAATCCCCTCAGAGAAAAGGTTGGGTTGAATGTGCATGAAGAAAAGGCTTGGGAAATACAGAAACAGTGAACAGCAGTTTAATACATGCAGTGCAGTATCATGCATTTATTGGACAGTTGATGTCATCATTATTTCAGCAGTGTTTTTTCACAACACTTGTGAGCGTACATGCCCTGATGCCACTCTGGAGTATGGAAAAACTGTAAGAGCTGTTCTTCTGACCTTAGCGTTTATGAAGAGGAGGAAAAAAAAGCTACCTGGACAGGTAAGTGGCATGGTTCATGGTGGGGAAGGGGGTCTTGAAAACCAGAGTCTGGGCTAAAGAGCCTCTGTCCTCTATTACGAGCACTATTTACACAGCTTTGACCCAACTGTGCAAAGTCAGACCAAAAGACCTGAACCAGCTTGTGATCTCCCACTGCTGGGACCTGTGACTCCCGGGGCCACAATGCACATACACACACACACGTACACGTGCACACACGCGTGTCACAGAGACCAGACCACCCTGGTAGACAGGATGGAAAGGCAGGACCCAGCTGCAGGGATTTGAGGGAAAACAAAAGGGATTGTGCAAACCTTGTTGCTGGGCACGAAATATGGGATGACTGATTTACCAGGGGAAACTCTGTTCGTGCAGCATTTGTGAGCAGGTTGCTGTTTCCTCACTCAGCCTTTGCTGACAGTGATTTGCCAACTAATCCCCCGCTCTCGGTCTTGATGCTGTTTTCCTTGGACACCGTAGTCTCCATGTGTGCTTCTGCTTTTTGCTTGGATGAGAGTAACTCAGCATCAAGTTTCTGGTGTAAATAAGCATGACAACAAAGGCAAAACTGCCTTCCCGTGAATAGTCCCTAGTTTCTGGGATGCATTCAGGCCCCAGTTCAAATGGGTAAATATGCATGGGATCAAGAATGCAAGTAATTGCATCAAATGAGAATTTCCATATGATGAATGGAAGCTGTTTCCGTACCTTGGGGCTCAGCCTAGAAACTCTTATTTTGCCAGTAGATGAATCTCCTAATTCTTTGGAAAGAGCAAAAGGAACAGGTTACAGCCTGCATGATCTTATTGGCAAAGTCAATCTGGTGTTTTTATGTTGTGCTCATCCAGTGCTGCTCAGGGCTGGAGCTGTTATCACAGGATGAAGTAATACCACAGGTTTCCCTAGAGCAGAACTAGTTAGTGCCAAGTTCACATCAAAGAACAATATTCTCTCTGCTTGCCAATGGCTGAAAGGTATCTGGTTTTCCCTGGGGGTTTGTTTCCTTAAAAATAGGAAAGGGACAGTCTCAGGGCCAGCTGCCACTGCATTTCGTGGGCATCCTGGAGGCCCATGTTCTGATTGGCAGAGGGTTTGGGGAGAAAAGGCTAAAATCAGGGGTCACATTGGTTCCTGGGGCAGAAAAAAACCTTTGGACAAGACCCAAACTCCCTCAGGGCCAGGCAGGGGCCAAGAAGAAATACTGCCAATAGCCATGGAGGTACACAGGACACATGCACAGTGGAAACCCCTATCCAATACCTACTGCAGAACTACATGGAGATGTCTACCAGTGGGCTGACACCTCTTTTTGTGGTTTGATTCACATCAGGAACGAACCTGTACCATTGCTTGGTTTTATTTCGGCACCACAACCATAACAGACACACACAAGGCATAGGTAAAATCCTACTTTTTTTTTTTTTCTGTACCCACTACTCTAATGGCACCTGTACAACAGCAACCAGGACAGAAGAGACATCAGCAGCATAGTAACACAGTCTCAAGAAACCAACCCTGCCAGGTTTTCCCCATACTTTTACTTCCCCGTTAGCCATGCTGCAGGGCCAAAATCCATTTTGTGCTGCAGAAGGGGTGATCCAGCAGAGAGTTAGGATGCACTGGGAATGAAGTCACATGCAAAATCATCAGCAGAAGCCCCTGCCACTGCAATACTGACTTTCAGCTCGCAGAGTTCACGGGTAGCCTGTCCTCACAATGTCTTCTGCAGGCTAAGGGGCCAGCTGGAGCTTTTCTGGATTTTTTTGTTTTGTTTTGTTTTCCCAGCAAGAGCACTGCTGTTGGCATCAGAGATGGCCTCTGTGACTCTGGAGGTAAAAATCAACAATCAAAGCTGCAAGCAAAGAAAAAGAAGGGGAAGGAGCTGAGGAAAACAAGTTACAAAGGAAAAACACATAGGTACCAGTAAAGTAAAGCAGAAAAGGGTAACAGAGAGAGTCCAGGCTGAAGTCCTCATGCAAGCAGCAAATCACAGATTGTTTAGTAGGACAGTTCATTGGAAAAGAGCCCAGAGTGATTTTTCTACCTACTCCTTCATGGCAAGGCCAGCTGGGGATTTGTTTTGAATCTTCTACTTTAGGGCTATCAGCCCTTTCCCTCCATGGACACATTATTTACTCCACCTTTGCATTCCCCTGTGAGAGTGGCTGAGCAGAGGTGGACTGGGCCAGGGGAAGGACATGCAATGGCACTGGAGCATTGCTGGAAAGCAATGCTGGAGTGTTTGCCCAGGATGTGCTTGCCAAGGGGCAAATATCTCCAGCCCCCTCCAAAAATCTGGCCTGGGTGCTGCCAAGTCATCTCAGTTAACAGATTTACCCAGAAATAAACAGAGAAGTTTTAACCAACTGATACTTAAAGAGAAATCTCTAAGCTTTCGGTGAACCCCAGTCAGATCTCCAGCTGTATAACACTGATACAAAAGAAGAGCTTCCCACCACCAAAACTGTAGCAGATAGAAACAATTTTGCTTTTAAGGGCTTCTGTTTCTTGTCTTAAGATCCCAGCAGTTGATAGCAAGCCAGAGAGAATGATGATAAATTATACAACTAAGGCAGAATATTACTTGCAGAAACAAAACCAAATCACTCTAATTCCAAATGTGGAAGGAAAGAATAACCTTCCCAACAAAAAACCACACAAAACATCTAGCAAGGAGGGGCAGCCAGTGTACAGGGACCCCCCATCTGCAGGACAGCATGTCTGCGTTCGCTCCTGTCACTGCTCTTTGGAGATGAAAATCTATTTGCTTTTCTTTTTTTTCTTCAAGATACATTTAGACACTGTATTTTGATCAGTGGCCACAGCAACTGCTGAGGTCAAGTTCAAACCAGACCTCAGGTTTCAGAAGAGAAGGTGCTGAGGGAATACTTGAGCCCTAACCTTTAAAACTGCTGTACAAACATAAAACTATTCCCTAGGAGGTTGGATATTAGGAAGAAATTTTTTGCAGAGAGAGTAATCAGATATTGGAATGGGCTGCCCAGGGAGGTGGTGGATTCACTGTCCCAGGAGGTTTTTAAGATGAGACTGGATGTGGCACTTAGTGCCATGGTCTGGGAACCACAGTGGTGTTGGATCAAGGGTTGAACTTGATGATCTCAGAGGTCTTTTCCAACCCAGTTGATCCTATGATTCTAGGTTTCTAGCCAAATCCTGCTTTTGGTTAAACATGGGGAACTCCACTGATGCCAAACTGGGAGACTGTCTATTTATGTCCCCGAAGCTGGAGCAGAATAAAATGCTGGGCTTGTGAAATCACGGGGGTTCAAAATACCTTGAACTTCTTGGAGTCTCTCAAAACTAAAACTTTCTTAACCAGGCTGGCAAAATAAAGCAGCCTTAGAATGAGACATAAAGAGCTCTGATGTACATGCTGATAAAAGTATATGGTGGCAATGGCCAGGGGATGGGGACAGTAGTAAATTATGTGGAGTTTTGCCATGAAACCCCAAGAGTTCAGTACCTGGTATCTTTCCTCAAATGAGAAGCTGAAGTTGAAGCCTTTCTGCGTGAGCATCCATGCCAGCTGCAACATGGTGGGGTGCACCGGTGGTCCCAGAGGCTCACTCGGATGTGCCACAGTGCTATGAAAATGGGAATATTGAGGAAGCTAGAGATCTACCTGGTGCAACAGCTCTAAGTGCCACCAAAGGAATGGCTATTTTAAACAAAGTCAGTGCTCATTGACACATGGTTTTCCAGCTTTTAGCACTCAAAGTACGATGGATGAAATCCTGGCTCTGCCACCTGAAGCCAACTGACTGAAGATGGAGCAGGATTTTGAAGTCTCAATGAAAAATAACATATCTTATGGCTTTTCCCAGCACAGTCACTATTGCCTGATACGTTCAGCTCTGACTGTGACTGGCTTTCACAATTTCTGTGGAGGATATATGAGGCAAAGTATGGCAATAGAACATGCTGCGGGGAATGGGTTGTGCCTCTAGGGGCATGGACCTGTCTGGGGTGCAAGATGTTCACAGTGCTCAGTGAATGGTGCCTGCCTCTGTCACCTGCCTCCCTTCTCACCTCCTCAAAGGAAAATCATGGATGGGAATGGTGCTGAAGTAACCTGGAACCCTTCAGCACATCTGGGCAGATTTGCTCTCCTCTCTGTTTCAAACTGCTTTAATGCACAGTGACACAACAGTCCTGGTTGCCGTTCCTAAATTATGCACCACAACAAAAAGCCTGGGAAGTGCATGCATTCAGTAATTAAAAAATGGGTAAACTGAGCTTGCTTTGGTGTATGAGCCAGAGGGGAAGCCAGAGTCAGCCCACCTGTGCCTGTGTCTTTCAGCGAGATCCTACTTTCCCAGCTCAGCACTCCCTGTCAAGCCTGGGCCAGAGATAAGCACGATGGAGCCACACATCAGATCCTGCACTTTCCACCCAAGAACCTGCCAGTGCTTCACAGAGGGGTTCAAGCATCAGCCCTCTTCTCTGCCCAGGGTGAAAACCTGGCACACAGAGATTAAAGTCTGCACTTTTCTATTTGGTTTCCGATACACAGCTTTGGCCACTCTGGGAGGTGCTGAGCATCAGCAATGCCATGAAAAGCCCCGAGGAACTGTGGGTGCTCAGCACCTCTGTCATGGAACCCTTGGACTAGATGCACCCCATGCCAGAGGCCAGACTGGTGAATTAAATGTCATGCTTGAGGGCAGCACAGTAAGTCAGTGACAGAGGATGCTGACTCCCTGCCACACATCTTCCTTTACTTCCACTCTGCTTGTAATACACAGTGACTCGAAGGAGAGGAGCTGCAGGATGAGACCATGCTCTGCCATGTCCTTTGCTCAGCTCTGCCCAGCTCTGGCCTGACACCATGTACCTGCCTCTCTTCTGAAACAAGGGTGCTGATCCCAAGCACTAAAAGAATGAGGCCAAGCATGAGTTGGCTCCCATCTGATGTCAACGTAACTCTCACCGTGGCTTTGAAAGAGAAGGATGGGAGGGAAAGCAGCAGTTTCTTAATCTGAGCAGGAGGGAAAGCAGTAGTTTCTTAATCTGAGCAGTAACAGCTCTGCTAAAGCCAGACAGACTTGCAGTCCAATTTGAGGAGTAAGAAATGGCATGCCATTGAAATCCTCCCATGTTGCAAAGTTAACGTTGATTCCTACTTATAGAAATAGCCTATCCCCCAGCAAACTGGAAGGAGGGACATTACTGGAAGTAATTTTTAAAAGAAAAAAAATAATGCTCAGAAAAGTATCTCTATTTAAATAATCCAGTTGAGATGTTCGTAGTTAATGGAAAAAAATACAACATATACTGTTACCTACACTGAGAAAAGAGTAAATCACTGGGGAAAAGAATGAGTGTTCATTAGTTAGAACATTGCTAGACTCACATACATATATATACTTATATATATATGTATATATGTACAGCACCAGAGACTGTTAGATCCGTTCCCCCTGGAGTCATTTGCAGTTTGTGATAAATGAAACATTTCAGAATTGCAGTATAAAATATGGCCATAAAAAAATCTTCTTTCTTCTAGTCCTTCGCTGAGCGTGTGCCTCGGGGTGGAACAGCACCGGGGCCACCTGCCAGCCCGGCCTCCTGCCCGCTCCTCGCCGGCCCCGCTCTCACTTGCTCCCTGTGTGCACTGTGGTCACTGTGGTGGGTCTGGGTCTCCGGTCCCCTCCGACCGCAGAAACGCCTGAAGAAGCAGATGAAACAAAACTACAGAGAGTGGATGGAGACATACCTAAAAGGAAAGCCAGAAACACAGTTAGAAATGTTATTTTTTTTGGAGGCGGGAGTGTGGGCAAAGCTGAGTTTCTTGCGTAGCGAGCTACAGAGCGGAGGGGATTGCAGCTGGAGAAGGGGACTGCAGTTGGAGAAGGGGACTGCAGCTGGAGAAAGTGCTGCTGCTCTTCCTGCAGTGGTGGGTTGGTTGGGAACCTCCACAGGGCATCTTCTGCCCTCCCGGCCCACGGCTGTTCGCCTACTGCCACCACCAGCAGTGCATACACACGACACAGTGACTCAATGTCCAGCTTTGGTACGTGTTCAACCAGACCAATTCCACATTTCTGGGGCTGAAGAAAAAGAGTTGTGGGATTCAAAAATCCCTCCAGCATTGTGCTTGCTCAGAATAATTTCCTTGTGAGCATATTAAAGATGATTAAACTTCTCATCATGGCCATGTAGCTAAACGAACAGACTATGCACCGGGACTAAAAACATCTCCCCTGGCATCCTGGAAAGCTGCTGATAAAGAAGTAGAGTGGGTCAAATTCATTGCTGAGTTCCAGTAAGCCTAGAGGGAATGCAAATTTATGTGACTTCAATATCATTCTAGCGACAGCTTACGTCGCTCCAGGCCTTGCTGGTATGTCTCCAGGAGTTCCAGCTGAGATACAGGTTGATGGAAGTTGAGTATCTGTTGAGTAGCAGTATTCTGGTGCAAGAAAAGCTGATGAGAGGGCACCTGGCCTGGTCACCTTGCTCTGACAAGATGCAGCACCAGAGAAATTAGAAATACAGTTCATTTTCCCAGACTGGTGAATAAAGGATGGATGAAACCTATATTAATATATTCTCAGACTGAAGTTTGATATGGCCTTTTGACTTTTCAGGATCTTTTTGATGCTTGTTAGGACTTCTTTCCATGCTTCAAGATGGCATTTCAGTCTCAGGGACAATTATGCTCTACCTATACTCGGTCACATCCCATTTCCCATTGACATTTGCCACCTTGGCTTCATACTGCAATTTACCTACTACCTTAAAAATATAGAGAACTAGGACCTGCAATTAATCTTGGCAGTCCAATCATGTCTAAACTAAATACACCCACCACAGACTGAGAATCAGACCAATACACTTGAGAAATCCTGTCTGATTCCCTTAGGCTGTCCTGACAGGTAGCATAGTCCAGCCTAATGCATGATCTCTGCTCTGCCCTACTGCAGAGAACAGACTAAGGATGCAGCCTGACATAACCTACTCTCAGGCAAAGGCTGTACTTAATTGTCTTCAATGATGTGAAATTGCTGCATTCAAAACTATTTGGAAAGCTCATTAAATGTCTATTAATAGCATTAGGCAGCACTCTATTGTGTAATGGTGGCACAGCTGGTTCATGTAACTTGATGCATGGGATCTTTCTTGTGCAAGAAATCAGTCCCCAGAGAAAACTGCTGAAAGAGGCAAGACAGAGACCTCAGAGGTTTCCTTTTCCTCAACAGGAGGTGTTTGGTGGAATACATTTGATCCGTCAGATCCCTCTTAACTCCTTGTATTTGCTGCTGGTTCTCCTCATTGGTTCTCTGGGGCTCCAGCATCTCCTAACTCTTTAATTAATTTCTTTGAGGAAGGGAAGCTCTTCTGTATTGGCCACAAAGCTGGACTTAAACTGGGATGCTTGGAAATATTTCAATATTTTTCTGCTTCATATTTCTGGCATATAAAAACTCATCCTATCTTAACACATTTGGTTTAATTCTTCTTGTCCTGATTGAACATCTGCAAAATATGGTTGGATTGTGTACAGGGACCTGCTGGGTTCTGTAGTGATAAAACAGATTTTGTTCTCCCACCCTTCTTGTTCACACATGTTTTTACACTGTTCAGACTATTCAGTGCCATTAATTAACACCATCTGAGATTAATTAAATGGAGGGATGGAGATTATTCACCCACCAGTTTAACAGCATTAATCACCCACCAGTTTAACAGCAAAACATGCATCAGGTGCTCTAGACCTGACTGGGGTCCAGCCTTGCCATACTGCGGCAGGAACCAAAATCAAGGCATGTTTCTGCCCTGTAAGTGATTTTCTACATCACAGAATGGCCAGTGCATGGTTAGAAGTGCTTTGAGGATGGTCAGCACTGCATTGCTCCTTTGCAAGTGGCAGGTGTGTGCCAGAAGCACAGCAATGTTTTTTGGCAGCAGCTGTAGGATTTGCCACTGGGCATCACAAACTGGGCACTGGGCATGAATTCCCATCAGGCCCAGGATGCAGAGGGAAGGGGTTCTTCTCTGGCTCAGCCACAGCACGAGCTGGCAAAAACATCTCACAGAGCACCCAGAAGGCCAGTCCCACCCCAGGTATGAGGGAAACTGTGCCCACGACAGCAAGAGAAACCACAGCTTCCACGCAGAGCCATGGGGACTGTGGCTGGTGTGACCTCTTCAAGGAGCAAGGATTGGCAAGCAGGGGTGGCAGAAGCAGACAGCAGAACGATCCAAAATCCATCCTGAATAACAGATGCTTTCAGTTCCAGAATAGTGCAGGGTATAGTCTAGAAACGACCATTTCACTCCACAGTGAAGCAAGCACTGACTGGCAATACCAAAATCTACTACCACTCTTTTTTGGTGTCACACCTTAAAATAATCTCCTCTAACTACAAACTCCACATCCCTCCATTTCATTATATAAAAATCTCTACATATGGACCGAAGGGAATAAAATAAATGCTCAGAAGCCAGAGAATAAATAGGCTTCATTGCAAAGGATGCATTTCTGTCTTCCAAATAATCCCTTTGCTGCCATGTCTCTTTCCCTGGCATTCAGGAAAAAGATATATCCCAAACATCTGAGTCCATTGTGCAGCTTGTAAATTTCAATTATAGCATATAACAAAAGTGGCAGAGAGCCAAGTCCTGCTGTGGTGCAGAAAGCCCAAGTCCTGCTCAGACAAATGAGCCTCTTTATGTAGGAGCTTAACTTGGCCCAGGAAAGATGGAAGCTGGGTCCCACTAGCAGGATCGGTCTCCTCCATGAAAAATGGAAATGGAAAGTAAACCAATTTTTACAGAAAAATGCCCTATCATAATACTGGAAACTCAAACATAAACAGTTTGAGTAAACTTTTTCAGATTTCAACCAAATACAAAACTTTGTTGCTGTGGGAGTCTGGGTCTTTTTCCCAAGCGAAAGCCCTTTTTCTCCACAAGAAAGGGTGTTTTTCTCTCAAAAATGCACCAAGCTAAAACCTCTCTTTTTTTTTTTTTTAGTGCGTAAACTTTTCCAACTGAAACATTGTTTCTCAGGCCAGCCAAAAGTGATAACCTAGGTCCGCTTTAAAGTCCTTGTTTTAAACACCTGCTTGCACAAAGCCAAACCTACTGGCAGTGAGGACTGCAGCCTGGGGGTCAAGGTGAAAATGGGGATCCTGCAGATTTGCTCATGGTAAGAGCTTTCCCAGGATGTTGGCTACTCACAATCTTTCCGTGTGGCTGCCTCAGGGATCGGTGTGGCGAGGCTGAGGGTGCTGGACACGCCGGCGCTGGCACTGTCCAGGCTGCTGCCGAGGTGTAGCCGCCTCATGTGCCGCACGACTGCTGTGGCGTTAAACGCTTGCTGGGGAAAAATAACAAGAAAGAAATAAAGAATAATAAAAAAAAAAAATGGAGGTGGAAAGTTACTTCTGCTCCCCTCCCGGCTGCTCAGAATGTCAGAGGTGAATGAGCCCATTATCTTTCAAATTTTTCCTGAATTCTAGTTTCTAGGCTAGGAACAGCATTTTCAAGCCGTATGCATCTCTGCACTGGTCCTGCTCCCTGTCGTTACTCCCAGTACTCAGCTGGCAGCCTACAGGCAAAGCCATATTTGAACTATCCTCCTCTGCCCCAACACACAGGGTGTTCTCATTGCTTCCTGTCCCCCCGTGGTGCTGACCCTGACCTCACATATAACCGTGAGTGTTTTAGCGATGAGCAGCCCCATCTCTCGCCATTTCATTTGGTACTTGGGGAATGCCATCCTGTACAGAAGCCCCTGCAGGCCCTTAAGTCTGGACCAACTATTTTGACCAGAATTTTGGGCCACAAGAGCACTAACATGCTGAAAGGGTGGCTGTACAGCTGCCACATTAGCAGAGCCACGTCTCAGTGTCATCCCCAAGGACAGGTCACTTACTCTCCATTTGCTTTTTGCAAAGTTCTTCCGGATCTGAGCGCTGACCGACTCGTGGATGTTTTTGTTGAGTGCTGTATCACCAGCAATCCTGAAATGGACAGAGCAGGCACATTTTAAGAGATCTTTTTCTTTCCTTGAGTACTCTACTTTTTCTCCTCAACAGAGAGGCTGGTCCCAGGTGTGACTGCACCTGCAGTGATGACGATTTCACTCACACAAGGGCTCAAACTTCTCACCACCGTCTCTGCTGGCAGCAGTGGTGGAAAATCTGGGGCAATAAATGCAAGTGTAGATAAGGCTTATAGGTCTGGCAGCTACAAATAGGTATGGCCTGATTTTGTTGGTGTACTGCTGCTTTCTATCACCATTACAACCCTGGATGAAGACATTCTACCTTTTTTTTCTTGACATCTGAAGATTTAACATTAACAGGCTGAGACTACTTTTAGCCTCAGCCATGCAGAAGCTTCCAGAGCCACTCCAACCTGTCTGATTTCTGTTTGCACTGGAGATTGTCCTGCCACCCTGCAACATACATAGTCATTCATCATGATTAATGTGGATTTACAGTAAAGCAGATACATGGACTCTCACTAAAGCAGCACAGACTGCACAAAAAATTGAGCTGAACAACACTTAACCTAAAAAATTGATTGATCTTGCATAGTTCCTTTAACATATAAAGACACATTCAAATCTTCACTAAACACTATTATTTCAAGGGAATTTTATTGATTTGTTTAACTCCTCAAGGCATAAAGATCTGTCGGAAGAGCAGGCAACACAGTGAACTGATGTTGGGCCATGTTGTGGGGTATTAAGTACTCTCTAATGTAGGTGATGCAAAGAGGCAAAGATTGCCTTCTATGTTGTATGTGATGCTTTCAGAAATCAATTTTTTAGCCCCAGTGTAGAAAAACAATATCCATTAGCAATAAAAAATTGTAAGAAATTGAATAATCTATCAAGGCCAGAGTCTCTCAGTCTAGGGAGCTCCAATAAGGGAGCTCCAATAAGGAGCTCCAATCAGAGGGTCTGGGGGACTCAGCAGTCATCTAGTCCTTCTCCCCACTCCAGCTCTGTCAAAATAATTTTGACAAGTATTTGGCTAACCAGTCCCTAAAGATCCCCAAAAGATAGAGACTCCTCAGGCAAACAATTCCAGGGCCTCACTATCTCCCAGAAGACATGGAAAATAGTTTATTCCCTTTGTCTTTGAAGCATCCTTTCACATATTTGAAGACTGTTATCATGACTTCTCTCTGTCTTCTCTTCTCTAGACTAAACAAACTGATTCTTTCACTGTTTCTTCATAACTCATATTTTCTAATCCTCTGATCTAGTGAGCTCCTCTGGATTTTCTCCAACTAGTCCACATCTTCTGTAGAGGGTTGCACCCGAACTGTTCTCTGTTTTCCAACTAAGGCAGCAGAATGGCAGCATTGCTTTTTGTTTCTTAAGAGGTGAAACTGCTTACATACTTCAGCCTGCTGTTTCCATTTATGTGTCCCGTGAATTGGAGACAGCTCGTCCATTTCACCCAGATCATTCCAAACTGCAACCCTGTTCTTCAAGGGACATGCTGCTTTTCCTGCCTTCGTGTCCATGGCACATCTAAGAAGCACTCTCTGAAACCAGACTTCTCCAAATTGTTGTCCTCCTTCCTGCTGGCAACAGTCACCCAGGATCATGATCAGAGGGGTGAGAGGAACTAATTACTTTCAGGAGGAAGGAATAAATCCTCATCTCCCAAGAGGGGAGACCCACCAATCCCATCCTGTTGCTCATCTACATTGGGTCATTCAAGAGCACTGAAGCCAGCAGGATGGTGGAACAGGGCTCCCATTCAGGGTAGCTCTAATCCAGCTGGGAAGGGCCCTGTCTGACTGCCACCACCATGTAGCCTCTACCTCAAGTAGACAGAAGAACTGGACAAAGTATGGCTCCCAAATGGCACCTGACTTCCTCCCCTGGGTCCCTGTGCTGTTGACAGAGAAGAGAAGGTGTTTGGCTGAGAACTGGATGATCTTCAGATCTTTCTCTGAAGGTGATTCCTTCTGATCACTTCTCCCATTGACAGGGAGCCAAGTTGGTCTGGATTTCCAGCTGGGGCCAGGCAACTAAAAGCTTGGTGAGGCAGTATCTGGGTTAAGCCTCATGTTCACTGTTTCATCCTCTGTCCTGCACAGTAAATACTGCTGCCAGGCTCAGCACAGACCCTGATGGATCCCATGCAGCATACACTCCCAGACAGGCCCTAGCAGAGTTTCCCAGTGGGAATGCAAACTGCTAGTCAGAGTCACTCTGAAATGTCATGAGCACTCTGCTCCCTGCAGAAACACCTCCCCAGTGAAGGCAGGTGCCCTCAACACATACCAGTTGGGATCACTGGCTGTCATACCACAGATCTCAGGAGAAAACTAAGCTGACAACTTAATATGTGGACAGCTACAAGCCAAACCATCCATTCAGTAACTGATCAAAAAGACCAAGAGAGAAAATTCACTTACACTTGCAAAGAACATTTTTCCTCCAAAGTTAATGATGCATTTTCCTTTATGAACAAGTTGATTAACAAACTCCATAAGCACAGATCCTGTTTTCCACTTGCCAAATTTTATTTTGGAACAAGTTCTTGGGGCATGATACCCTTGCCAGCTCTTCCAGAAGATTGTTCTTGTCAGTCTCCACAAGGACTTGAAAATGCATTTTTGCCATATGAAACTTTCGATCAGGCGTGTAGCTCCAATATTTGTCAGGCTATATTTGTTTTTTTAGCTTACGATCATTTTCTGAAATGCTGGTGGTTTCAATAAGAAACTGCTGATTCCAATAGTTCACAAACTGTCTTCTACCACCCCTAACTCTATATTCACTATGCAATTCTTGTAATTCCAGGAAAATAGTATCGGTATTTGGGCGTTTTCCAAATAAGCGGAATAGTACTTGTTTACTTCACAGGGGAATGGACAGACATCCTGTGAAGCCCTCAGATGCTACAGTGGTGTGACCATCCTACATCTAAGCATTAGCACCTTGGAGATGCTAGCTTTAAATCAGAGCAAAATAACAGCCCTTCTGGGGTAATTCAGTGCAGCAGGATCTGTTCAAACCTGTGCTGGTATGCTGAACAGTGTGGCTCAAAATGCAGCCCCGGCTGCCAAAGCCAGGGGTGGGATTGTTCCCCAAGCTGCCTCTGAAGAACTATCCTGTTAATCTTGTGATTCTGTAACATGAGGACTGCGCTTTTTATGCTGTATTTTGCACTTGGAGGATTTTGAAGCTTTTATAAAATAACACTTGTGGTGTTATAGTGTTTATAGTACAGTTTTTACCTCTTGGAAAACAAAACCAGTGTTAACATCCATTCGTTGTTTGTTGGTGTTTTGTTGGAGATGTGATGGTTTGAGAACACAGAAGAAGGGGAGGTAAGCAGGGAGAAGCAGTATCTTTTATACTTAACAGGTAGAGCTTGAAAAATGAGATAGGCTTTTGGGCACCTACCCTGAGGTGGGTATCATGAGCATCATCTCATCTATACTGAATGTATTTAATAATGAACTTTAGTTCCCTTGCTGAAAAGACAGTGAATGAAATTTAACAGGTTTTAGCGCATGTTATAATTACTCTTCCCCTTTTCCCTAAGTCTCCAAGTCCATAGGCTATAAACCATCTTGCTTTTTTTCCTTTTAGGTCAAAATCCCTTAGCACCTTTCTTTCTCCCTTTCCATCACAACACATCCTTTGCCTGCAGGAATCATCTCCATTTTCACTGAGAAACAATAATCAACTTGAGCTGATCAAACTGATGCATATCTAATAAAACCCTGAGCAGTAGTTCCTGGTTTTGCAGTTAACTTTGAAGTTAACTATGTCAGCACTGAAGTTTGTTTTTATCAACTGTACTAGCTGGCCCGGTAAAAGATATTGCTTCTATCTACCACACACACATACAAAACCAAAATTAAACTAATCAGAATAATGCATCATCTGCTATCATGCTGAATATCATCCAGAAGTGAGCAAGGACTGATTAGTCTAAGTGGAACCTGGCTTTTCTCTCAGGGTTCCAGTTCTGCAGCACCCATAAGCAGCTACATCCTAACAATGGTTTGGGGCATAGAATTAGATACCAAGAGCCACAGTCTAATGATTTTCCATCCCAAATACATCCACTGAAACTAAGAAAGTTATTCCTCGTGAATAAGTATAACAAATCTCATACTGCACATGAGAGGAATCTAATCTAATGATCAAATATTATTTCACAGCATCTAATTTATTTTAGCTCTCTAGCTGAGTTCAAACTTATCACACCAATTTATCTGGCCGTACCACTTCTAAGCTTTGAGGGGAACCTCCAACAAAGACAAACCAGTAAATTTCCTTTTGGACAGTTCTTTATTAGCATGCTGCAAGCATATGTCTCATTCTCCCTGCCCATGACAGCAGGCAAAGTCTTTCATCTACCATTATTTTCTGAGCCCTCGTGCTGAAGGCAGCCAACTCAAACGCTGTGCTGGCCAAACAGTGCTTGGAAATACTCTTCAGTATGATGACAGGAAACATGGAGTTAGCTGTAATGGATAATGCTGAAGGATCATAACTCTTCTATATGTACACACACACATATATATATCTACATGTACACGCATGTATGTGTATAAATATACACACACACGTTCTGTATCAGTGCTGCTCCAAAATAAATAGAGTGCAGGGATGAACTCGATAAGTTTGATTTAATGTTGTAAACATCAGCAGCTCCCTTCAGGAAGGCCTTTTCACACTTCAAACAGTACCATCTGAGAAGTGAGCTCTCTGTAAACCACGTCCTTTCCCTGGGTGGAAATTATTATCTGGCTTGTGCTCTCTGGCACATAATAAACACTCAGGGTCATGGCCATAATTTGCAGAGACTCAGTCCTTGCCAAAGCTTTGTGATTCTTCAGTGTAGGCGTGGATGGATGTCAGCACGTCCCAAGTGTCCTCTGTCCCTTTGCACAAGCAACGGGGAAAGGCGAGGACCACACTCGTACCTGCAGACACAGGAGTCTACCTGGGGCCACAACCTCCCTCTCCCTTATACAATCCATACAGGGAGGCAGCATATACATCACTCTTTAATTTAGATGCCCTAGGTTGCCTTCAATGCTATAACTGGCTTCAGCACACAGCTCTAAATCCCATTTAAGTTCACTTGGTTAATGCATGACAGAGCAAGTAAATTCATGGCACCCCTTCCAACTTTTATGTTAGCTTTCTAACTGTTGGACTTTGTCCTTGCCCCCTGAGCACTCTTTTTGTTCCTTCTGATCTCAGCCTGGAGGCTGAATTTGGCTCTGCAGGGCACACTTTGATAATCCTTGTGGGTCCCTTCCAACTAAGGATATTCTAGGTTTCTATGATTCTACAGATTCTCAGGTTTCTGCTGCTCACCCTTAATCACTTCAGACTGAGCCACTGCCCTAAACAGGGTGTGGGTTCTGATATGGCAATATATTTAATAAACTTAATTGCTGTCATTAATATGAGCCAGGGAAACATTAAAATGTATCAAGCTGCAGCAAAATTACTCCACTCTTTTGTTACCTTCACTTTCCATGTCCTTTTCGAAAAGTCACCAGTGGAACAACCAAGCAGAACACTGCACCTTTGCAACACACCATGAACAGTGCAAACCTCACTGAAATATACACTATAAAATAATTAAGTTTTCCAGTGAAAGCATAAGTCACCTGTACATTAAACTGGAGAAATCTGTATAAATGGATTGTACAGGCTGGGGTGGAATCATTATACCAACAAGTCTCACATATTATACTGTTTCAGCTACCATACTTCACTGCAATTATTAGCCTCCTTTTCTGCCAACTCTGAGTTTAACATACCGTCCCTCTGCCAAGGCCATTTGATTATAAATAGCAAAACATCACGTAAATGCAGGCATGTGGGGAGCAGATACAGCACAGAAAAGCAGGCCATTGGGAAGAAGTATTTACTTTTATTAGGGTCTGTTCCTGTGCAAACATTTAGTCATGCGAATAGCTGTCTATTCTAGAGCAGTTTTCCAAAATTCAGAAAGATTATTAACCTTAAAAGCATAAATGTAATATCTTGCAAGATCCAGTTCTTGCAAGCCCTCTTTGGAAGTTTTAAATAAAAACATGGTAATTGAAATAAAAGGTGTATTTTGGAATTGGCTTGTTCTCCACAAATGTTACATAAGAAACAACAAAGCCTCATGGCAATGTCAGGCACAATTAACCACTTTTATCACAATCAGATTATAAAATAAGTGTTAAGTATTCTTGATTTGATAGTTTTCTTCCTAATTTGTGGCTTATTGCAAAGATCTGATACTGCAAGGGAAGATACCACAGGGGGAAGAAAATAAGAAAGCTGGAAAATGTTACTACATGGAGCTACTTCATCATATGTGTTAATCATCTACCATTTGCACAGCACCAGTGACTCAGGTAGATCTGTGGTCTGCTGGTGAGACAAGGAGACAAACCCCAACTCTCACTAAAGTCTGGCAAAACTCCTGTTAACCTCAGTGGAATCAGGATTTCACTTCATGACAATGCTGTGGGGTTCAAAGATGCTTCTCCAGTTACGTTGCTTGTGCAGACAAAAGAGGTGCTTTTTATGAGATGCCATTAAGGGCTACTTGCAGTGCGAGCACTTGGGAAAAGTATATAATTTATGGGGCCCTGTTAAGTCTGCTCTGATCACCTCTTCCCACTAAGGCAATAGTCTTATGTACCTCACTACCATGGATAACACACAGAGAAGACAATGCTATGTCAGCACTGTGGAGGGTGATGTGGCTAATGGGGGTTGAAAATGGGTACACTGAAAAATACATGCTCATCTGACAAGGTGGTGTGGGATGCCCCCATCATAAAAGGTGGAATCATGAGAGGAACTCAAACCTGCACTTGCTGAAAACTTAAACATGACCAGGCTGAGAGAAGGACACAGATGACCACTGAGAGGAAAAACAGAGATCTATCCCTCCTCCACCAAAAAGGCCTTTCCCTTCTTCCAAGAGCAGGAGAGAATGCCATTGCAACAGATGTAATGGCTAGAATGAGAGAAGAAACATCAAAACCCCCACTGTTTCCTGACATAAGCAATCTGTGTGGAAAATGATTCTTGAGCAATGCTTTGGCAAAAGGAGACCCTATCACTGACTCTGAAATAACAGATAATATTTGGGTGAGTAGCCTTGATTATCCAAAAAGGCATTTATCACTACAGTATCCAAACCCTCCACAAGATCACTGCACCACCTCTCCAGAGAGGTCCATAACAGCAACATCTGTGTTAAGGAAAGAAGTTTTTCAGAGCAAAGGGGAATGAGCCATCAAGTTTTGCTCACAAGTGCAGTGGGGAGGACAGAAGCAGATCTGAAGCCATAGGTCAGGAAACCTCCATGCTTTGCTTCCACTATACAACTGTCATAGAAGCACAGATTCGTAGAAAGGCTTGGGTTGAAAGGGACCTTAAAGATCATCTAGTTCCCACCTCCCTGTCCTGTAATCCACTGGTACATACTGCCTCTGTGTCAAAGGGAGGTGGGTTTGGGATGTGGGGTGGAAATATGGTGCACATTCGAAGCCTCTCTACTGCAGTGCCATTTACATGTCTGACATTTCAAAGGTTGACCCTGAGCTGTGCTTTGCACGGCTGGGAAGCAGCCCTTCAAGTGAACCACTATCTGGCAAAGTCAGCCTGGCAGAAGACGACCCCCTGACACAGAAATTGGGGAAAGACTCTCTTGGGAGATTGTTTTTACATCAAAGAATGAATTCTGTAGAAAACAGTAAGAATTATGAAGCAGTCTGTGAGTTTCCATCGGCCCTTGGCCATGTCATGCAAAAGAAAAAAAAAAAACCAAGAAGAAAAGGAATGAAAATTCTTTTTATCATTTTGTTCCTTTTGGAGGGCCCAAAAGCTGTGTGTGTTGCAAGTGCCACGTTTCTTTGTTGCACTCCAGCAACCAACACAGATGTAGCAGGGCCAAGAGCTGGATTCTTTTTTTTGTGTGTGTGTATGTATCTTGGATGTAAGGCTTTGGAAAATTTGCCTCTGAGTTGTACAAATGGTCACCTCACTCCCGCTGGGAGTTGCATTCCCATTGTTTATTCTGTATTGCTAATATTGAGTTCTGTAATGTTTAATTTCCCAAAGCTCAGATTTTTCTTCATCTCCCATAAACTGGATTTTGTTACTCAAATTTTCTTTTTGTCACACAAACAGTGCAAAAGGAAATGGTATTTGGGGCAATTGTGATAGTATAAAAACAGTCTAATATGCATCTGGGAAGAAAATGTCATGCCATTGACTTTTTTCTGTTGCTGCTATTATAAAAACAAAAATAATATCTCACCTCATATTTAACATTCCCTTCCCTAAAAGACTTGGATTCAGAGCCCATGTGAGGGTGCAGGTGGTAGTGTGGGGTGATGCTCTCAGTCACTCAGGGCTGGTCAAAAGTAAATGACCCAGTCCTGTTCCAGCTGCATAAACCTTGGGTAACGTTGTTAAAGTCACTCATATGAAAAGGCATCATCTAATTTAAAGCATTTTAGGGAGGTCTAAATTACAAATGCAGTCAGATCAAGTACTCTTCTGTAGGCCCTGCAGAGAGACAGCATTGCTACTGCTAAATCACCTTCAGCTCATTCCTCTCTAGCCTATCTCTTCCATTCAACAACAGGGGATAACCAGCATGTGGAAACAGCTCCGTACTGCAAGCAGGAGGTGGACTATTTGTGAAGCACAGATGAAGATTTCCTACTTCATGGGATACTCTAAAGGACTCTGATATTACCTTGGCAAGGACCTCATGAGCAGGTTGATATCAAGCCTTCTGCACACCCACGGAATTCGACCTTTGGCCCCCAGCTATGATTTCTGGGTTCAGTCATTTGGGCATACGCCACTGCTGCACTGCAGTCAACGTACACAATCCAGCATTTTACTAATCCTTACACAGATACTCAACAGGCTGGTGCATGAGATTAAAGTCCATCACGGTCTTCCAGGAAAAACTGGAGGACAAAGGCGGGGTTTTTACAATAAAAGCACTAAATTATTTAGTAGAGTATGTTACAGGAAAACGACTTCCACCCACAAATGTAAAATGATGCCCTCTGCCCTGAGGGTTTCACACAGCAGTGACTGCTGCTTACCAAGGGTGCCGTGCTGCTTGCTCACAGGTGTATCTTTTATTAGGGTCCTTCTCCATCAAATTGCGAATGAAGTCTTTAGCTGCAAAAAAAAGAGAGAATAAATGAAAGCAATAGAGTTGATGCCCAGTTCTGCTGATGGATGATCAGCCAACAGGCTACCAAGTGCCACCTGGCCACAGCACAAGAAAATGGTCCTAGGCCACTTGTCATTTATTAAAATAGATATAACCAAAAGGACTTAGGACCAAATCCAAACTGTTTAGTACAGCAGATAAAAGCTGAAGGCATCTACTCCTGAAGGTATATTTATGAGTAGAATGGATAATTCAGAGTCAGCAGAGTACAAGCCTGGCAGCTCCCAGCTCCCTGGTCAGCCACGTGCCTCTTATCAGCTTTGTGGCCTGAATGTGGTCACATCATTGTAGTTGCTGGTAAACTGAGTGGGAAAAGCAGGAAGGAGGTCAGATGCCACAGCAAGAGAAGCTTCACGTTGCTCACTCCAAGCAGTCACACACATGGACAGCTGTGAGGACATGTTGTGTATTTAAAAAGAATTTAGTGAGGCAAATGGACTCCCTTGAGCATGAGGCAGTATGTTTTTAATTGACACTATAATGGAAGGAAGGGAGATTGCAGCATGGCATGCATCCAGTAGTGTCAGGACAGTGTAGCTGAAGGAGCCACAGCAAAGCCAAATATGGCAGGAAAATCTTTGTGCTGATTTAGGTGCTGGACTTTCCCCCAAAAGGCAAAGGGGTCTGCCAGCAGACCTTCATATTTTCTCTGAAAACCCTTATAGGCTTAAAAAACTTCTCATCACATATATTTTTAAGCAATCCTTCACAATGATATCTGGACTGCAGATGTAAGCAGCATGAAATGTTGCTCTCTGTGCAGATAAGAGCATATATAATAATCTCTATAATAAAAACAATTTTTATCTCCCCTACCTCAATCAGTAGTACTAATGAATCAGAAAACTGCATTTCTAGAGATATTTTTATATGATGAAATATTCTTAGAATTCATTTCTTCTCCTGCATGAAATGGTAGATGTTTCCCTGGGTTGTAAAGAGCGAGGACACTGAGCTTGTGTGACCCCTTGGAGACCACACAGCACGTCAGTGACACATGCAGGGTGCAATGCTGAATGTGTCCCTCCTGTCACCAGTGGACACTGATGCTGGCAGGCCATGAGCCATGCTGCAGCCAGAAGCCTTTAACCATATCTGCCTGTAACATGTTGGTGTATCTGCCCCTCTGCCAGATTGACCAGAGCAGGAACAGACGGGCACTGTGGGTTAAATGTCTTCTGCACTGGGTGGGGAGCTGGGTAGGCATATGTGAAGCTATCTGGATCCAACCACATGGACAGTCCACTCAGTTTCTGGATCTGCTCATCTCATCCACCTCATTTGGAAGCCAATGATTTCCTGGTTTTTTTGCTGCACACGCTGCAGTCCCACTTTGGAGCTGCAGTGCAGCGTCAGTAACAGAGCCAAAACAGTTTGCCACCTTATTATTAATGACACTTAAACCATCTGCTTCTCATTTGTATTTGACTGAGAAATTAAACTGCTTTTTCTTCTTGGGACAGTCTTCTGACATCTTCATCTTCTGTCTCAGGTATGTTTTAGTGCTTTATGTGTGGCTGGACAAAATTGTATTTAATTTGCTCTCCTGCAGAAACAAATTCCCAGAACTATTTAAGCTGAGAGAAATGCACATTCCCAATAGTCTTCAGTCAAAAGGAGCTCTGGACATGATGGAAGGGACATTCTCATGCCCAGAGGAGGATATAAGCAATAGACATACATGGATGTATGGTTGTTGCAATTAAAGGAGCAGTAACTACTTACCAGACTCAGAGATGTCATCCCAATATGGAGAGTCAAACTCATACTCTGCCTTAAGGATCTGCTCAAAGAGTTTGGAGTCATTTTCATCATAGAAAGGAGGATATCCACAGAGGCTAATGGTGAACAAGAAAAGAGAGATGTAATCATTGGACCCATCTTTGTCAAGAAGAAAGAGGGAGGGAGAAAAAGGAGAAACTCTTGCTTAAGACTTGACCCATTGAGTTTTCAAGTAGGCAAGTGCTAACATGAAAGAAGTTTGTTCAGGGGTACATAAAGCCACTTCTGAAGACTGGCACTGTCCTGAACAAAGAGGAATTCTGCTTAGAAACCTGGTGCTGTTGATCCCATGCTGACTGATGCAGATATCCTAGTCTCTCTCTGCATTCTTTTGTGTGTTTAACTAGACGAATAGTTTTATTACATAGACCTGTCCCTTTCCTATACATGTAGTAGGAGGAGATTTCATGAGCTATACCTTACATCCACAGAGCCCCAACTGTCAGCACATCCAGCAGACCTGGTGTGCAAAGCAGGACAAAGAGCCCTGCAGAGCTATCAGGCACAGGGTAGGATGCATCTGCAGGTTGTGCTGGGCTCTGCATCCCCAGGCACAGCGAGAAGGATGTCTAGGAGTCAGTCCCCCTCTGCAGCAGAGCCTGCAAGGGCTGGACATGGACCTGCTGCTGACACAGATACACTGAGAGCCTCTCCCTTTCTCACTTCTGCAAGTGATTTTGCTGACCACGTCCGACTGCCTGCCTTGCCTAAGGCTAACAACAGTCCTGTCCTGTTTTTCAGTGTTTATAATCAGAATTCTCAACAAGCCTAAGCCCAGGACAAGCAGGACATTGAACATTACGTGCCTAGTTTGAGCTACAACACTCGGGGTGCACCCTCCCAGTGCTGCAGACAGCAGGACAGTCACTGTGCTGAGACACGGCTCCTCTAGCCCTGCAGGCGTGGGAAAAGCACATCCAGCACTGCATTAAGCCAATAAAACTCACTGCAGTGTCAGAGATCTCTCACACCCAGCTGATGCTGCAGGCAGTAGTCTGTCCCTTTCTAAACAGACATGTCAGCAGAGATGTCCCTTCTTCAAGTTTTAATACCAAGGTTGCAAAGTGCCAGATTTACCTCCAAGGCTGCTCCAAGGTTTTAGCAAACCCATCCTGCTCACAGTTAAACAGACCTTTCTGCCTCTATGGTCTATATAGAGATGATGAATTTTTATCTCTTATCTCTAGTCCATGGTCTAAATTATTCTTACACATACTTTGTTGGTATTGAAATAATCTTTTCCCAGCACTTTTCTTAAACTCTGAGTCAATCAACCTCAATAAGGCATTTAACTGGAGAGAGCCAGCAATTATATAAACAGATTGAAGATCCAGCTCAGAAACTACACTGCAGCAACAAGAGAGCAAAAGGGGGGAACTGTAAGAAATTAAATACTTGAGTTATTTATAACCCAAGGCCAGCCAGCTGCCCTGGAGGTTATTTGAACCAACTCAACACTTCAGGGTGAAAGGAGCAATGTTTTGTTAGCTCTGAAGAGCCAATGTACTTGATAAATAATTTAAATACTGAGTGAGATGTTGATCTGCGTCACATCCATATTGACCTGGGAGAACTCTGATGAAATTTGCAGCATGATAATGAGTCCACTGTGGTTCAGCTGAATCAGAAATCTCTCTCTTTATCTTGCAGAGCAGATGAGCCAGTCCTCATTTGTGTCCCACTGAATGACTGCCTTTATCAAAAGCAAGTAAGATAACCTCATGCCAGACTAGTATGCTCCTTCAGAGCAGGACTGTGTACCTACTTCATTGGCACGTGCTTGTGTGTGGGGCTGGGTGATGCAACTCCTGTGTGAAACCCTGTGGTAGAAGTGGTGTATTAGAAGGGCTGTTAAAAATGCTGCATTTAGGCAAGTGCCAAAAAGCCACTATGAACGGGGACAATGAAGGAAAAACATCCGGTAGCATGAAAAAATTTAAATAACTTGTTTTAATGTAATAATTATCGGTGCTTACATTCCACAGTCCTGGGGTGGGGATGCACACAAACTGATTTTCAATTTCCTCCTCACAGAATTATTAGTCTTTCCATATCCAGTCTTTCCTTAAACATCTCCATGGACAGTGACTACTCCACCCTCACAACTCTCAAGATTTGTGCGCCTTACTGAGAGGTGTGGAAATGATGGAGTTGACAGCATCAGCACTGCAGCTGTTAGGATGGGCTCTGGGGTAGAGATGCCCAGGTTGATGCAAAACAGCTCCTCCAAAGGCACTTGGAGCCATCACTCTGTCCCTCTTCCTTGGGAGGCTCGGGAGACTCAGTATAAGAAGCCTGGCAGTCCCTCATTAATTTCTTGCCTTCCTCAGCACTTCCCGTAAACAAACCCAAACTGCTCTGATAAAGCATTTTAAGGCAAACAGTCAGCAGTGTGCACACTGAGGAACTGGCAGGCTGCTCTGGAGAGAGAAATAACTCTCTCTAAATGTGCACTGTACTAATTACCTTGGCAAAGGTACAAGAGCACAAGTTGGGACTGCTGTGATTTACACACACTCGTGGCAGCAAAATGTAGGAGTAAACTTCTGAGCAGCACAGAGATGGAGGGCTATAACCCCTGCAGGAGGGAGCACAGAGATGTGAACCCCAGCAAGGACCCCAGCATCTCCAGAGCCTTTCAGTCCAGCTCCTCCACTGCTCCTATGCATGGCTTGAGTATCTACACATTTGGATCTACCTCCATGTCCAGGAGGTCCCTGAAGCCCATCACAGCGGTGGGTGCTGGGAGGGGTGAAGCATAAGGAGAGACAGAGTCATGCAGGAGAGTACCAGGACTGCTGGGAGCTGGGCACAGGGCACAGCTTTTCGCTTGCCAGTGAGAGGTTGAGAAGTTTTGTTGCTATTACAGATCATGGTCAGGGACATCCCTCCAAACCAGCCCCTCACATGAGAGCAGGCTGAGTGCAGCGCAAGGGCTGATCCTGAATTGTCCAGGAACAGGATGAACCTCCTGCACAGGGGGTGCCAAGGATATTGCTCAGGGAGGCAAATCAATGAGGACCTGCACCAGAAAGCAGGTGAGAAGGGAGGAAGCTCTGTAGGTCAGAAGAGGTGGCATTTGGGAGGGGAACATCAGGGCATCCTGGCACAGGGGCAGGGTGAGAGCCAAAATATAGGCAGTCTTGCTGTCCTTTCTCTTAAAAACAGAGTTTAGGAAGACACAGAAGTTTTAATGTTACTTTAATATTTAACATTATTGGCTTTGCAGAAAGGGAAGGGAAAGCCCTAATAAATTAGCCTATCATACAATTTATAGCTGGAGGAAATATTCTTGGACTTTCAGCAACTGGGCCACTTTCCAAAGTCTGTAATGAGTTTTTGGTTAATTCTTACAGAATCAAAATCCCACCAACTTTGTTTCCATCTGCTGGGACATTCTGTGTGAAAAAAACGACCTCACTATCAGAGGTTCTGCTGCTTTTCTTTAGATATGCAGAAATGCAAAAATAAACCCTCAGTCTTCGATGTGAAAAAAGTCCTATGCTGTCCTGAGGGAGTTTCAGGCAGATATAAGTTGTCATCATTTTCTTGCAGTTTCAACAAATAGAAGATTTTCAGAATTATTTAGTGACCTTATCACATCAGCAACAGATTTTCCCCTAAACTCCTACTTCCAGTCTTGCCTTAAAAATAATGGGATGCAGACAGAAAAAAACCAGGTGGATGTACGAAAGAAAGATATTGCCAGAAGTCATTTCTAGAAGCCATCATGAGAGCACAACAGCAGGAACATCTTCTCCTCACCATGCAGAGAAAGCAAATCCCTGCAAGTTGTCTTTACATATTGAGGGTGATACTAAAGGCTAAATAACTCATTCACACAGTCAGTGCCCAGCCTGCAGCACAAGAGGCACCAAGGACCAAGACACACAAACAATTTTATAGTTAGATTAGAGCAAAGAATTCAGTAAGTGCTCAAAGACCTGACATGTATGGTGTGGGAAGTCATCCAAGTGCTATTTATAGGGATAAACACATGTATTTTTTCTGTATATTTTGGGACTCTCATACTGTCTGACACTGGTGCCCTCACAAAGCTGTGGACAAGGACATATTAACCTATGGAATCAAAGACAAATTAAGAAGCAAGCGATGGGTAACAATCATTTGAGACTGTCTTCCCAGTGTTTGTGTGAGTTATCCTGAACGATCCAACATGCCTTTGTACTTTGCCATCACTATTTGATCTTCCAGTATCAAATAAGTAAGTTATTCCTCAGTTTCTTGCTTAGGCTTGTGTGTGATGCCAAGCAGATGAGATGACTGACCAGTTTTTCCCAATCTATGACTCCAGGATGATGGTGGAAACTTCTTTTGGCATAATACACTTTGTACTGTCCCTGGTTAATCCTTCCATACAAACATCACTGATGATTCATGCACATCTACTTGAAAATCAAAAACAGGTTAGCAGCGAAGTGTGAAATTATGATCCAAGATCTATTTCCAGATACTTATTGTTTATAAACAACAATAACAAACCAATAATTCTCTTGTCCTAACAGTGAACAGAATCAGAAGAAAATTCAAGGCAAAATGTGCTCAGTCTAGTGCAGAAGAGACAGGAGGTGTTGCCTATGAATAACAAAGGGCTGAAGCATATCATTCTGTTGGCCTAGGTTCTTTTCCAGCTTTGAAACATGATTTTCTATTTTTTCCATAAATTAACTTAATCTCTTTATCAGGCAGGCATGTAATCAGTAGTTTAGTTTCACAAGCTTTTGCAACCCCTTACTCCAGCTGCTGGGAATCCAGTGAAGTCTCTTGCTCTTCTTAAGCTTCATATTTTTAAGCTGGACATATTATCAGAACTATTTTGTGATAAGTGGAAAGCTGAGCTCAACACTGAGGCTGTTTCCAATTCAGAAATACTGCAACTGGAATAACAGGAAATTTCAGGCTCTAAAATTAGTTTGTGTGAATAATGACATCTCATGCAAAAGAGGTTTTGATAAAAACTCTGCTGGTGCAGCCTCTGCAATCTGGCTGTCATTAACTAGAGGCATTAGAGACTGGCACTGAAACAAAGGTATTCTTTCCTAAGACGTCCTTTGCCTTGCATATCACAGAAACAAATATTTCTCTAGAGCATTGGTGCCACAGAAACAGTTTGTTCTTCCAGTGTCATAAACTGAGGGCTCTCAAGTGAAACCAAGCTTGTGTCTGCAGGCACTCAAACCACTTGCAGTAATAATAGCTCACAGCATCTTTAATTTATGCCTGGCTTTGGTGTTAGATTCCCCTGAGTTTCCATCTTCTTAAACGACAAGTCTGTCCAGAGTGGCTGTTAGAATCTGTGGGAAAGGTGGGGACGTGATGCAGGACATTGTGCTTGGATTGCCTGATGCAAAAATTGTGTCTCCAACTGCTTTAGGCATGTGCAAGTAGCTCCAACTGTGCTGACAGTGAAGCTGGAAATGGCATATCTGTATGGGTGCAGTGATATACTGGAATTATAACTGCTGCTCAGGGCAGGATTAACTACCAGCATTGCACCAGGGTGACTGTACTGCTGGTGCTTGAGGCGTCTCAGTGTCATTCCACACTGGGAGCTCCCCGGCTCTGCCAGCTCTGGTGGTATGGCACTGCTGAGACAGCAAACCCAAGTGTTAAATCCATGTCCCTCACTGGTGGTATCAGACAGTCCAGCAGGACTGCCTCCTTCCAGCTTAGGGAAGGATCCTTTTCCTCTCTGCTGTATCCCAGACATCCACTCTTTTAAAAGACCACATCTGCAGCTTCTGGCTGTTCCTGGAAGCAAGGATGACATCCAGACCAAAACAAGGACATGTGAAATGTGGGCTGTGTTTCTAAGATCACATTGCACTCAACAGAGATGGAGTCAACGGAGACTGGAGAGTGATGCAAGTGTTCCATAAAGCTAATTAATCCATATTGTGAAAGCAGGGCTCTGAGTACAGAGCAGGGTGTGATCCAGTCACCTCAGCATGGACATCTGGTGCTATTTGACATGGTCCACGGTCTCCTTCTTGGCCCCATCTGTCACTCCGCAAGGAAGGTCTCCACAGCACGTTGCATCTGCCAAATGCACGTGGCTGTTCTGGATGCCCCAGAGTGGCACTGAATGTGGAAGTTTAGGCAACTGAAGGGCACGCCCTGGTGAAAGGACTGCTTGCACTGACCCAGACTGGGCTGAGGTGCCCAGACAAAGAGTCCTGTGCCATCGGAGAAGCTGAAGTGCACAGCACCCCTGTCCTCAGCTGACAGGGATGTCACAGGACTATGGAGGGCTGGACTGTCCTGAAGCCACAGCTTGAGACCAGGCAGGACACTGTATGTGACTGCAAAAACACTAAGCACCTACATCAGGGGAACCAAAGGGAGCCCTGAAATGCTGCTGTTACAGAAGCTGAAGGATGTAGTTCACGTGCAGAAATACTGAAGAAGATTGGTTTGGTCCAGACCCAATCCCACCCAAGCTGTAACAGTCTGGCAAACACATTACCATGATCCTTCTGCAGCAAAATGTTATTGCCATTCATTTGGACTGTACACAGTACAAATCAAGTCCTTATTACCTGAAGCACAGAAACTCTGAAAAGGCTTCCTTGTCCTGCAAACTGGAATTCATAGGGGTTCATTCTTACTGAGCTGATTTAAGCCTTCTGGGTTGGAATTCCCCATACAGCAAACAGGGAATTTAAATTTGAGGAGTGTGCATGCCTTTGCTTGACAAGCCAAGCACATGTTGATTTGGAAAACAGAGAAGGAAACAGAGTTGAACCTTGTAGAAAGAGCAGCCTTGCTCAGGAAGGGAGGATTAGGGATGAGATTGAAATCTTCCACCTATTGAAGATGTGCTCAAAAACTGGGTGTGGAGGACATATTACCTAGCACTATCTCACCCCTATTGCTCAGCAAGACACATAAAAACAACAAATGAAATAACAACAGGTCTGCCAGCAAAAAAGACCTTTGGTGCATGAGCCATTGATACATGGAACTGAAAACTTGGAGATAAGCAGAGCCAGGTTTATCTCTGGGCAACCAGATGCAACAGTTCACAGCCCTCCCATGGGCTGTCAGATGGACACACATTTTCATGGTGGATATTTGACAATAAACTGAACCCAGGCAGCAGCTGAGTCTGGAAGTGAGGCAAAGTACTGCTCTCTTCCACCTGCATCCTCCTTCTTCCCACTCACTGAAGCTGGTACTCAGTAAAGTACTAAAAAAGCAACAGAAAAGACTCTGTGTCCTGCCATGGCTGACATGGACTGAATACATTAAAAAAACCCAACCCCTAGGACTTCCATGCTCAGGTTTGCTTGTGAAAAATAGTAACTTTGGGTCAGCATGCACTATCCTTATCAAAAAGAGCACTAGGGCATGACGTGTGAAGCAGCCTTTGAGGTATTTTGGCAAGTCTGTTTTCTTCCTCAGTGCTGCAACATGTCCCATTGGGCTTTGCAACAAAGTCAGAATCAGCACTGTTGATTTTTGCTTTGTTTAGCAAAAGCTTTTTGCATCTTGCTATTGATGGCTGCTCCAAGATAAATCCATTCCCCTGTAAAATTTTGCACTCAATAAGTTTTCAAATATTCATGTAAATTAGAAAGTCAGTCATAAAACTAATGTTTTCAGGCAGGACTTTGTTTTAAATAATAAAACACATGTGCAGATAAATAAATCCTTCCTATACCATTTTAATATAAAAAACCTATTTTGGGGAGTATATAACATGCTCAAGATCAAATGCAAATGTAGGAAATGAACATTGCACAGAGTGGATAACACAGCAGTGAGGTATATCCTGGCAAAAATAGTTATACAACCCCATCAAAAAGTCATTCATGTTGACAAGCCATGAAATGTCTGCATAAGGAGAAAAGGAACAAAGCAGGAATGCTTTAATGCTGTGCCTCATTGGAGCTGCTTTTTTCTTCAGCGTTGTATAACTGTGACAGTTTCGTAAAAGGGAAAAGTCGAAAAAAAGAGAAGGCATTGGTAATGCCGGCAGGAAAAGACATTTGTTTCTGTGGCAGTCAGTAGCCAAACAGCAGCTCTGTGCTCTCTTGACTGAAGGAACAGGGTTGTTGTGCTTTGTGTGGTCACCCCAATCTGTCTGTGGCAAAAGCCCAATCTCCTCTCGAAGACCCGCATGAATAGCTTGTGGTTCAAGTCTCTCAGGCTGGGCACAAGAAACCTGTGCAGTTGTTATTTGAGTGACATGCACAGACCTACAGCCCTCACCCTCGAGCACAGCCTGCCCCGTCAAGAGAGATCCCTAAAAACTGGTGTCAGACAACGAGTCCTGCATTTTCTTTGCAATCCAAATATGAGCAGTGATTTTATATACTCATGCACACAGATCTGCATTCAGATGATGGTGCCCAGTAATGTCATGAATGCCTTTTTCTGGATAGCACTAATGACCCCTAATGGTACCCTGGTACTAATGGTACCAGGGTATCCCTGTGACCACAGCAGCCTGGACACCTCTCCAGTCCTTCCATGTGTTGTCACTGGAGCAGTGATTGGTACACCTACTTCCATGGCTCAAGGACTGAAAGCATCTAAAGTACTGGCTGCCTCTTTCATGAAAACAAGTCTGGATATAAGGAAAAATGTTTTCCCCATGAGGACAGTCAAGCAGTGGAAGAGGTTGCCCACAGTCCCTGTCTTTGGAGGATTTTGAGAAACAACTGAATAAAGCCCTAGGTTCCCTAGTCTGACCTCAAGGAAAGGGTTTCTCAAGGTTCCCTCCAATCTAAATTATCCTAGTAAGCCTTTATGAAGAAGGGTGGCAGGTAATGAATGAGGATAGGCACTACATCTCCATAAACATGAGTTCTGAGATCTATCCACCACTTTGGAGAATGCACAGAAGTCCTGGTCCTGCAGCTTTCTCAAGCAATCAATCCCCCCTCCTTTGAGCAGTGATTAGTCCCATTACAGGAGCAATCTCAGCCAAGAATGCAGAGGCTTAATGGCTTGAGGGAAGAGTGATAGAACCGACAGGGCTCACTCTCTCCTGTGGGACCTGATGGTTGGATGAGATGAGAAAACAATCCCTCGTTTTCAGTAAGAATTTCAATACTTTTGTATTATGTTTTGATGAGAATAACTAATTCCCATACATTAAAAGCTCTTTCCTCCTTATCTCCCTCTGTGCCCTCCCCAGGGAACAAAAAGCCATTAGGGTGATGCCATGAGAGAGGTGGCTTTTTGGGATATGCCTGCAGGCATGGTGCTATGCTGCATGGAAACAGCAAAATTTGTTTCCTGTCAAAGCTAATCTGAGCAGGGGACATAATAACTTCAACAATGTCACAATCTGGGCAAGCCCACACCACTGCCTACAGTGTAGTTCAGGTGGGAGCACTGATTTTGGCATTTGAAGGGTACTGGTTCATTTCCTACCACTTGTGCCCAAATTTCAGTCCTTATGTAGCTGGGAGTTGTCCAGAGTTCATGTTATCCTGGGTCATAGGTGTCAGAGATTAACAATTTGGCCCAGGCTAAGCGGGTAACTCTATGGTGGGAGATCATTCTGCAGGTCCCAAGGGGGACAATGACTGAAAATCCAACAGGTACTCACAGGATGTAGGCAATGACCCCGATGGACCAGCAGTCCACAGCTTTGCTGTAGGGTTTCTGGGCCAGTACTTCAGGAGCTGAAAAACAAAAAACCAAGCAAGCACATGTGCATCATCATCATCATGGCTAGGCTTTGTGAACATGTTATAAGAACAAATATTTGAGTACAGTCAAGAGGCAGGACCCTAAAGCTCCCCAAGACCTTGTTTTGCCCTTCACACACAGCCCTTGCATTTGTAAATGTCCTGAGGTTTTTGAAGCTCGTATTCTTACAAAGAAGGATGACTCCTAACGAGGAGAAAACTCCCTGTTTTTTGTCTCTAGGCACAGAAAACACAACTAAGCACAGAAAATACGTGAGAGGCAGAGAGTCATCACCTCCCTGTTTAGGAGGAAAATGAGGTCAAGCCTTGTACGGGTGCAGAGATGCACATTCCCCCTGACAGCATCACAGCTTCACCACATCATGCTGCCAAACCAGAGAGTTCCACAGGCAGCTCAGAAAGTGCAGCATGTCAGGGAGGAGATAAACTACGTCTGCAGGAGAGGAAGGAGAGCAGCCACCATTTCTTCCAGCAGCTGCCTTTCAAAGCCTGCTGGACATCAGAGAAAGGAGGAGTAATTTGTCCTTCTGCCTCTGGGAACAGAGACACATCAGAGGGAGAAATGGAAAGCGGCAGGAATTGGACACACGCAAAGGAACTGAGCCTTCTACCTCTGAGCTTTCAGCCACCATACTCTGAATTTTGCAAGAAGCAAAATTCAGTATTTACTGAAACTCTTTGTGGGTCTGCTTTCCTATCCAAGACTAGTGAGAGTTAAAAAGGTGTATTTTGGGGGGAATCCTGGAGTATTATGTTTTCCCTGTTGGGAGTTTGCTGTACAAATGCTTAAACCTAAATTTGAAAACCCTGTGACCCTAATCTGTTTCATGTAAAGAAGCTTTTGCTTTTTTTTTTTCAAAGCAAAATGTCCACAATAATGCCAGAAATCACTGACTGTAGCATTCCTAAAGCAGACTTGCCACACTATGTTTTAAAAAGCACAGTATTTCCTCTGAGTAATTTGGAGTTCTAATGCTGGAAAAAAGTCATGAAGGGGCAAGTCCCAACAGAAATATTTCTTGGGGGTTACACCTTCCTCTCAGGAGTCTTAACAACATCAAAGCCGTTAATTACTTGAAGAACAGCAAAGAAAATTGGGAACCACATATAAGTGTTAAAACTTGAGCCTCACATTTAGTTGCTACCTATGTTCTGGTGTACTGGTAGGACTCTTCAAAGACTTAGCTTCTTAAGCTAGGCAAGCCAACCAAATCAAGAATATGTTTTTCAAAATGTGCATCAAATAGGATTTGGGAGACTCAGTTTCCTATTTTGTTCCATCCCTTGTGACTGAATTTTGTGACAAAATACGAGGAAGAAGGGAGTTAATCTTCCCCTGTCCTTATATTAGATTAGATGTCTTCCAACTCTCCAGTCCTTCAAAATTCCCAATATTTTATTCACATATCTCTTCTACCTTTGACTCTCTGCTCCTGTTTACACAATTTTCAAGACTGGTAAACATTATACGTCTCATAACTCCAAAAGAAAATATCATGCAAATGTCTCCTAAGCACCAGGGATCCTAGTGAGCTCCACACATTATACAGATATGCCACATTAACACAGTAGAAAACAAATCTGAGATGAGGGGATGTGAACTATATAAAGATTCTCCCCCTTAAAACATCAAAGCTTTGTTGAGGCATTTCTCTCTGTTTTAAAGTAGTGAAGAGCACTGATAACACTTGCTGCTGTGGATGGTGGCTGTGAAGCAGGTAAGAACACCATTTGCTCAGAGCAAATGGGAGGCTATTACCCCCCCTTTGGTAAACCTTAATGAAGAAAGGCAGGGGTGTTAAATACTTATTTTAAGGCCAAATGGCTGGGTTTGATTTTTGTTCCAATAAGCGGACACGTAACAGGAACAGGAGAAGATAGCTCAGCATCATCTGTCTCTGATACACAGAGAGACGGAAATATTTAATGAGCTGAAAAACAAGTCAGAGGAGCTCTTAGGAATGATGGTAGATCAGTGCCAAGAGGCAAAAGCAGGAGACACAATGAAAAAAATCCAAGATCTGACAGCGTTAAAGGATCAACACAGACGGCTGAGGAGACAAAACAGCAGTAAGGAGAAGGGGAAAGTCAAATCTCCCATTTCTGTTGCTGGGGAGACGCCAGCTGAGCAAAGGCTTCCAGTATCACACATCCCTAGGGAATCACTGAAGGCTCAAATGCTACACAACAGTCATCCAGAGACAGGGAAATCAATGAAGAAAACCTGGACCCTTCCTCCATATCCAGGAACTGTGTTTCAGGCCGAATAACCATTATTGCCAGCAACGTGTGCCAGGTACCAGACAGGATAATGGTCCCAGGGCCTCATCAAATGTGCTTCCCAGGCCAGATGATCCGCTGCTTTATTATTAGGTTTGGGTTTTTTTTGTTTAGTTGTGTTTTGCTTTTAATAAGAGAAAAACTTAAAGTGCTCGTTTCAAATGGAGGTTTTAAAAAAAGGTACAGACCAGGAACATTTTGAATCCTTTCAGAACACCATGCCATTACCCTCAGTGAGCTATTAGCTATGCTAATAAGCTCCCTAAAAATGCAGCTGCCTGGGTGCCAAAACCAGCAACCCATGTTCTTGCAAAGAGCTCAGGTGATGGGGATTGCTCTGATACTTTAAGCCTGTTGATCACAATGTACAAGTCATGAGGGTGCCTGTTCTTCAAAACAGCCTCTGCTTAAAAGTGGTTCTCCTTCACTCCCATGATGGTGCTACTCCCAGCAGATTTGGCTGTCCCACAAGAACTCAGTCTAATGCTATTTTCTGTGGTTTACATGGCTTCCCACACACTGTATGCCAGAAGGAAGAAGGCCTTTGAACAAAGGTTAATGGCCTTGAAGTTCCCTGTAGGAGTGACAAATCACCTGTAAATGTGGGATGAATTGAAAGATCTAAATAGGGTTAAAATAACCAGAGACATGCTCACATTGGGCAGGGAGATGGCTCAGCTGCCCAAGCAAACTGGCCTGGTGCAAACATGGACAAATAGTTCAGCTGGTAAATATTTATGTGCCAGTTTCCATCACGTGGGCGCATTCTGCAAGTAAAGAAGGGGAAACATGAATGGGCTGCACAGGTACAGGATGGCCATGAAATCCAAGAGAGAAGGTGAGATATGGGCAGAGTTTATAAGGGACACCAAAGGGAAATGGTGCCAGCCCCATCACCTAGGACTTCTGAAGCACCAGCTCAAGAAGACAGACAGAGAGGAACAATCCAGCACTACTGAGAAGATGGTTGGAGGCACAAAGGGCCAACTCAGCCCCTCTTCTGAAGTCAAAGAGTGCAAGAGCACTGTGAGTTCCTCTGCTGTCCTACAGAGTCTCCTCACAGTGCAAACAGGCTGAGATGCATGAGGCAGCTTCACTACAAAACCAGTGTTCTCCTGCTGACTCCTGGGATGAAAACAACTCCTGTCCATTTTTCACACAGTCCTCCAGTGTTTGTTGTGTTCTGTTTGGCCAAGACACTGAAGTTTGAGGCTGTTTCTGAAGATCAGGGTTTCAGTGCAGTATTGCTGACTTCTTGTGCTCCTGTTCTCCCTGTTTCATTTTGCTGAGTCAGATTTAGATATTTGTCATGGGACATAACTCAGGCACAACCACACACAAGCAAACACAGTGTCAGGATATGTCAACGTAGCTGAGAAATCACTCTGTCACGTGCTTATGCCTGAGCAAACCCTGGTCAGAGTGGTTCCCATGCTTTATTTTTACTTTATTACTCATGTTACTGCCTAAACAGCTCCTGAGGTAACTTTTTCATAATAAGGATATTCCAAAGGCTTATTGAGTGTTTTCAAACCTTTGACGCAAAGGATACCAAAGAGGTCAAAATTCAACATGGAAATCCATTGCTTACTTAAATGCTGTGGTCTTGAGCAGGGTTAAGAGAAACATGTGGCTTTAGTATGATCTGAAACTGGATTTCTGGTAGAGCTGAATGTTGTGAAATGACCTTTCATAAAAGCACTACGGAAAGTGAAACAGTGAGTGAGGTGGGTTGTACAGGGACCAACCACATATCCAGGGTCCAGCCCAATTTGTACGACAGGAAAGTACGAGAAAATAGTACATGAGGCTGGATTGGGACTCAGTGCAAGAATTTTAAATCTCAGTAGGATTAAGATATTAGCCAGCCACAAACACAGCTCATAATTCAGACTTTCTGCAAAGGAGATCAGATTGCCTCAGACAGGCTTTCTAACTTTTTTTTCAAACTTTTCAATGCTCCTAAGTGTCTTGCAAGTCTAAGTCCCATCTGCAGAAGTAACCAAAACTTTTGAGAGACCAGGTCTCATGGAAAGTCACTCAGTGATACCTGATTCCCAAACAGCCAAAACGTCTTTAGAGGAATTTTCTGAGTGACTAGAGTCACCTCCTGGTGGGTGCCCAACTGGACACACCTCAGGGATGGCTCAGCTTCAGGCAGGTTGAAAAGTTCCTCCATCAAAATTGAGTTATTATAAATAGTTTCAAGCTGACCAGCCCAAATCTATGATGTTTAAAATGATAAATCACTAATGGCTTATAACCTTGCTGATAACCACACACATCACTCAGGGTTTTGAAAGCATCACTTATTCTCCAGTTTAGATGATGGGGTGGGATCCATGTAGGCCAGTCCACACACCTAATTTGCAATGAAATGAGCCACACAAGCCACCTCATCTAACCCAATTTATGTGTTATCTAAAAGCTGGGTGCCCAGTCTCAGCTCATCACCTAGACTCTTTCCATACAAAATGGGGACAAGAGCAGTAAGCAGATAAGAAAATGGGGGACCTCCTTATTAAAGATTGTATTGTCAGATGCCCTTTGCAGTAACTAAACATTTAGATTGTCCTCTTATCAAAAGTGGCTTAACTAATTAGGTTAAATTATCGTAACCATCAGCTTTTAACCTGAGGACTAAAATCTCTGACAAAACTCCTGAAAAAACAAGATCTCAGACCTCGTAACAGTAATTTGATCTGTAAGGCAGAGCTTTAAAAGCTAAAGTGCTAATCCACTACTGGTCATGCACATTTTAGATATACTCTAATTTGATACGTAATACTTTGATTTTCAGTAAGAAAATTGATATTTGTTAAAGAATTTAACTATAATTACAACTTTCCCTGTTCAATGAATTTCCAAACCACATAAACAGGGATTCAGTGTCTTGGATACTACTGCTCTTTGTAGATGAAACTAAGAAAAGTTGAGATAAAAACTCAAAGACAAAGAGTTGAAAGTATATCCTAAACAGGGAAATAAGACAGAAAGGACAAGAGTTTACATACTTTCAAATACTTGGGTAGCAGACATGAGTTAAGATCAGGTCTGCTTCCAAGTCAGAAGCTTGTCTGACACTTTGCACAGTGGGATCTGACTGGATCCATTTGTGGAGATGCAGTATAAATAGGAGTGGATGCTAATGACTTCTTGACAGAGCTCTGGGTGCCTTTGACATGTGATATGCAAGTAATTCTTTTCCAGTAATTTAAAAACAAAGTAGTTAAACCAAGAAAAATAATCAATTACTAACCAAAATCTTAAACAATGTTGTGTTCTACATATCTTTAAAGAAAATCACCAGGAAATGCAATGTGAGTGATGGATCCCTAACTGTTATTTAACCCTAGGTAAAATATCTTGGGGGAAAAAAGCACAAAACACAAAAAGAGGTGGCAGACAGGGCACTTTATGGGCCAGGACTGTGGCATTTGTCTACCCCAACCCAGCTGAGGACATGTATTCATGTTGTGCCATTAGGAGGAACGACTCTTACATTGATTTGAGGGCACTAGGCAGGTGCTGCAAATTGGAAGGCAGGAAACCTTTTGGATGTGGACGAATTGCTGACCACATATGCAGAACCCATGTCATCAGGTGTGACACTCACGGAGACCCATTTGAGGGCATCACCACAGTGGCTGGCAACAAAAATGTTCTGTGCTTGGAAAATGTTGTCTGAGCAACCTATCACATTAAAAAAAGTACAGCACTAAAGAGGAGCTCCTTCCTGTCCAAAAAAAAAAAAAAAAAAAGAAAAGAAATAGAACAAATATTTGAAGATGTTTGCTTTGTGAGAGAGAGGGGAAAGTCCTGTCAGCACTTCAGAATTAAGCGGCTGGGACCTCTTGAACCATGATGAGTAAATCCTGTGTTCAGTAAGGTAACAACAGGCCTGGAGGCACTTGTGCAGCTATCAGCACCCAGACCATGAGTAATGAGAGCTCTCAAACATCTCTCAAAGCACTACAGTTTGTGTCACAGGCTCTGAGAGCTTCCTCTACAAAATAGTAAGTTTTCTTATGCAAATGGCTATGCTGAGAGACCATATGAGATCACTCAGTGCCCAAGCACAGTCAAACTCCCTCATTTCCATTAGCACTTCAGCAAATTATATCTGAGCTTCTCTGTGTCTGAAGACTTATTCTAGTCAGTGCTCATTCCAGAACAAAATAAAACAAGTTTGTTAAGGAGAGAAGAGCCGACAGCAAAAATTATGAAAATTGCTATCTCAGCTCAATTCCTGCTACTGCTTAGAAGAAGATTTCCAGTCTGGTGTGATTACACCAGACAGCTACCCAGGCTGTGCAGAGAGCATCCTGACTCATATGTCTTAAAATAAAACAATGATGGGCTGATGGCTTCATGATGGGAAAGCACAGAAATCTGTTCCTTTTCCTGATGTTATCAGGATAGACTGTGTCTGTGCAGCGTGAAGATTATACCCAGAAAAAGGTACCTGGGACAAATCTGTATGTCTGTGTCATAACAGCATAATCTCATACCATGGTATTATCAGAAGTATGGAAACAGGTGAGGTGCCAGCTGTTAAGTAAAAGATGTCTCTGACTGCTGGAAAACATCCAGTTGTTCCTGCTGGAAAAATCTCAGACAAATCTATCCCTGTGGCAGCTGTTTTCACTTTCATGGATTTCATGGATACCCCAGAAATTAATTTTACCGCCTCAGCTGATGATCGGGGGTTATGGTAGGAGGCCCAGGCTTGCTGGATGTCTGATGCACAAAGTGAGCCTTTTAAATAATTTTTGCTCACGCAGACCCCACCATCACCTGCTGTATAAATCTCACATTCAGCTACTTTAGCTATTTTTAAAGAATGCTGGCAAACACCCTTCTAATCAGTAGCCTTGTACAATCACTAACAAATGGGCAGAAGAACAAAGAATAAGTGATAGGAAACAATTTCATAAAGTCCAGGAAGGCTTGAGGATCTAAAGAGTTTTTGCATACTGTCATCTGAGTCAGTAACTTAATGTGCTTGTAAGAGAGGATTACTGAACATATCTGAGTAAATGCAGATCTTTCATTTTACTGTCTTCTATCAGAGGAATCTGGAAAATGCTATTCTTTATGATTAAAGGAATACATTTCATTAGGAAAAGCTGCTTGATTTTATAGGTTGCAGAATCAATAAGTTTGAGGCTATTCTTTATGTGCTCCTGATTTAGCTACAAGCAGTGTGTTAGAAAAGACTCACTTTGCAAAGGACTAAACACATGAAAGTGAATCCCATCAACTCAGAACAGGATTGCAACCCAAAGGGAAAGAACACACAAGACAAAGCACCATCAAGTTCTGAAATATATCTAATATCTGTAAAATCTCATGTGCAGCATGTAGCAGCACTAGAAAACATGTGTTATTTAATTTTCAATAAAATATAACCAAATCTCTTACCAACATAGCCAGGAGTTCCACAGGCTGTGGACATCACATCTCCTTTACCCTCCATCTTTGACAATCCAAAGTCGCTGATCATGATTTTTGACTCTTCATCCTGGCTGTAGTAAAGCAGGTTCTCAGGCTAGAAAGGAAATAAGCACAGTGAATTTTGAATACATAAGTTCAGTAACAACATCTGTTGACTCATGCATTGCATTTAATACAATCCTTAGTTATGTCACACACAAAAATAATTTGTTTCCCCTAAATCTGGAGTTGTTCTTACAACCTATGTGGAGATCCTCTCCTGTAGGCAAAGAATGGAAGAAACTGACACCTGAGCTTTGAATAATTTTTCTGGGATAACAAACTTCTCCTTTGGCAGCTCAGATAAGAACTAAGGCTCATCCCTTACTTGTGAGATGTGTCTGACATACTATCACATCAGAGTGATAAAACCAAAGGATTCATTTGGAATCAAGTAAATATGGTAAATCCAGGTAGTGTAGTGAAATTTTTTATGCAGCATTGGAAAAAAGAAAAAGGAAACCAATAGGTAGTATTAGAGAATTTTTGTATCTTTTCCACTGGAAAAAAAACTTTTGAGAGCGGAAATGCCTTTACAGTTAACAGACTTGCAGCAAGGATGTTTTTGCTAGAGCTGATTAGGAAAAAATGCTGTAGCACTAAGCACAGCAACTTGTTTATGCTGAGGGAAAGCACAAATCACTCCACAAAGCCCTGTGACTTTTTATACCAGTGTCAGGTGGGTTGGAGAGCCCAACTATCCTCCATCTGGTCCTGCATAGTCCTGCATCCATGTGTTCTGACTGTGCTACTGCTGTACAGCAGAGCTCTTTCTAGGTGCTGTGAGAGTTCACTTTTTTCCCTACTTAATATCTGGGCTCACAAAAAGCTCCAGCACCTGCTGGCACTCAGACAGCTGGTGGCAACAGGCCCTCGACCTTGGGGGTCTTCACCTATAAAAGTGATGGGAACCCAATGTTTCAAAATAACCCTGGTGTAGTCTTTTGCCCAGAAACTGGTACAAATTCCAACCCTCGGCCTGCTGTGTGCTTCAGGAAATGGTGAGAAGCAGCTGTGGACACACAACATCCTCAAACTCCTTGGGAAACATCCAAGCTTGGATTTGCAGGGAGGAGCAACTGCAGTGCAGCAGCACCAGCATCTGTCCTGCCTTCTTCATGTGCTCTGGGGAAAGAGGGGTTGGAGAAGTGCCAGAGGGTGACGTCCCCTCCACCCGACTCTGAGGTTCCCCTTCAGCTTCAAGGGGAGGTTAAAGCATTTTATGGCTCCCCAGCCCCAGCATAAAGTGCTGGCTTTATCCATGGGACACAACGGCCATGAGAGGATCTACAAGGTACATCCACAGCTGTTAGGCAGCTGGGCTGAGATATAAAGGGAAACAGTTTGGTTGTCAAAATAAATATGAAGTTTTACCATTTATGTTTCTTTCTCATGATGACTCACAAGTCTAGTGCTTTAACTGGCCATTATAATGCTGACATTGTTTTAAGGCTCACAGTTTTATGCCATGTTCTGCCCTTGGTTGGAGTCACCCCTGATTCTTACTTGTCCACTTCTGATCTGCTGAGGGGTTGGTAGAGCTCGTATTAGAGGAAGACAGTTATTTCCTACCAATATTTGCTAACTCAGCTCAGGTTCCCACTTATTCATATTTAGGAAGTCCAAGAAACCCATCCATATGAAACTTAAACTTGTTTAAAAGAATTCTGATTATTCAAGATGGTTAATTCAAAAAGCATTAACAAGGTGGCTCTGCACCAAGTGAAGCTTCTTGAGCCTTCCAGTCCTTTTGTGCATCTCAGACTTCCCTGGACTTCATCTGCTGCCATCTCTTCTGCTGTTGCATTACTTAGATCAGAGACTTGGGGCTCAGACCTGCTTTTCCCAAATACAGTAAGTACTATTTTGGTATCTGAATAACACATAATTACAAAAAATATTTGTAATGGATGTTTCATGGGTTGTATTTTTGTAGAGTGGATTCTTTCCCAGAGTTTCGTTTTGGGGATCATAATTTGAAACTTACGCTTATCTCGGTATTTTGAGATCATAAAAAGCCTTATTATATCCCTGTTTTTCTCATCATGGTATGTTTGTGCTAACAGAAATTCAGAGCAGGTGCCTTCATATACCGTATTTTCTGAGTAATTTTAACAAATGATACAGTACTGACAAAGACTTGCAAACAAAAAAAGAAAAAGACCTAGTCTTTCCCCCCAAATACCACTGGAGAAGGTTGGTTTGACCTAAATTCAGCATGGCCTTATGTAAGTTCTGAAAGTAATTTGTACGTGAATCCACTTCCCAATCACCAGATCTCATATGTTATTACAGGAACTTTAAAATAAGATGATTTTTTAAAAAGTGAGAGCTACAACATGCTTTAGATTATAAAGACAAGAATTATGAAGACGGGAATATCAAGAGCTTGTACAATGGAGTATCTGAATTAGGAGGACTCAGACCTGCCTCTGAAAATTTTGGTGGCAGAAAGAAGTCTGAAGTTATTTCCTAAAATCTGAACTTTGGGAGCAAGCTGGTCATGTTAAAATACTAAACAATACTTCCATATTGGAATGCTGTGGAACTCTAAAAAATATGAGAATATTTATATGTACATTACAGCAGGAAATGAACAGGAACTGAGGCAGTATGTGAAGACTGCAGGAGATGGAAGCCTAACCAGTGCCTCCTTAGAGAAAATCCATTATCTGGGACAACACCAGGGAGGAAACGTTATTTGAGGATATCATTGTGTATCCTCCTTCAGTGGATTCCAAGTTTTGTCTTAAAAATGTACCAAACCAATACTTAAAAAAAAAAAAAAGTTTCTACTTTCTATTATTCTACTCTACCTGTTGAAGTGAACATCATAGGATGCTCACTTCTGGCAGAGGTATTTCTCTTGCAGAAACAAGGTGCAAAAAAGCTTGCAATCCTGCAGGAATGGCCCACACACAGCTAAAAGATTCCCATCTGGAGTCAAAGACTGGCAGAAGGAAATGGTTGCACTGAGGTTGTCACAAGGGAACGTCATGTCTGTCTGTCTTGGGCACTGCTGCACCTTGGAGAACACCAGTTCTGGTGGTTACACCAGTAATGGGCTGCATTTCTGCCCCAATGCTTTGCATTTGGGGACAAGTCTGTCATCTATTATTTTACACCACACAGCACTTCACATCAGCACTAATTTTTGAGACAATAAAAAGCAAATAAACAGTATCTCTCATAACCACAGTTTCTCATCCATCTGAATGCACAACAAGGTCACATTCTCAGCACTACAACCTTTGCTAAGAGGAGTAGTTAAAAATTCCAAACGTGCAGTTTAATATTAGATTATATTCAAAGAAGGAATTTAAAAATACATTTAATAAAACCTTGTATTTAAGAAATAAAAAAAAGAAAAAAAGATCTCTTCCTTGTGGCTCTTGGCTCTAATAATTTTCATTAAGCCTTTCTATAATATGACCTGTTTAGTCAAATTCTACTCTCTGTACAGGGGGAAAATTCAAGCTCTGCATCAACATCCAAGGAAAATCCTGTTTGGAGCATCCCTCCAAAGCACCACCATGTTATTCTGATCACCGAATTTTTAGTTTCTGGCAGTAGACTTTGGTAGAATTAAGCAGTTCAAGAACTGAACACGCAGTTTTCTTCTGAGATTTCTATCTTTTTCTAGTATCCTCTGCTAACTTATTATTTAAGATACTAAACATGGGGCGATTTAGCTGCATGCTATGAAATCCAAGCCTTTCTGGTTGTCTTAATGACAGTTTAAGATACTGGAAGGAAATGATAAAAAAACAATGTTTAGGGTTTTTTTTACCAGAAAAGCTGAGAGGTTGTGATGTAACAATATGGTACAGCTGAAAGGAAAATTATCTAAATATCACATCATCACACAATTGTCCTTAGAAGAACCCTTGCTGTTAAGAGTGTCTCCAAAAACACTGGTCCAAATACCATGATAGGAAATCACTCTACTTTCCCATGCTATTTATTGTTACTAATTATTTTTAAGTCAAAGTAAATACAGCACAGCAAACCTGCAAGACACTTCACAGCAGTAAACACATCCCAACTGAGATGAGTTTTCTGCCTTAATGCAACAATTCGGGTCTTAACGAGTGGCTTTTCCCCACATCACATGGGAAATTCCCATTGTAACAAGTGATTGCAAAGTCCTCATTAAAACCAATTACGTGGGGAGGCTTCGAAGCTTCTCTGCTACGGTAAAACCTCACTGAAACAGCCATTCCAGGGCACAAATCTTAGACTCACATAGTTATGAAACCTTTGCTAACACTGCCCAGGGACTGAGAGATGCTGTGGCCATACCTTGAGGTCCCTGTGCACGATGCCCATCCGGTGCAGGTAGTACACAGCATCCAGGACCTGCCGGATCAGGGTGCTGGCATCCTTCTCCGTGTAGAACCCTTTCTCGACGATGCGGTCAAACAGCTCTCCCCCGGACACTCTGGAAAACACCATGGGAAGCACAAGTGTGAGGATGTGCTTTGTAATGTCCTTTGTACCTCACTAAAGGATGGTCAAGGCCATGCACCAGCCACAGGCAGCCAGAGCATATGTCTGTCTGCAGCTCTGGGGGCTCCCCTGCTGTGTCCCAAGGAGGGCCACAGGGATGGTGAAGGGTCTGGAGGAGAAGCTGTATGAGGAGCAACTGAGGTCACTTGGTTTGTTAAGCCTGGAGAAGAGGAAACTGAGAGGAAATCTCATCACAGTCTTAAACATCCTCATGACAGGAAGCAGAGGGGCAAGTACTGATGTCTTCACTCTCACGACAGTGACAGGACTCGAGGAAACAGCATGAAGTTTAGTCAGTGGAGGTTTAAGTTAGATATCCATAAAAGGTTTTTCACCTAGAAGGTGGCTGAGCACTGGAACAGGCTCCCCAGGGAAGTGGTCATAGAACCAAGCCTGTCTGAGTTCAAGAAGCATTTGGACAATGGTCTCAGGCACATGGTGTGTCCTGCACAGGATGAGGAGTTGGACTCGATGATCCTGATGAGTACCTTTCAACTCAGCATGTTTTATGATTCTATGATTTGGGTTTGATTTTCTCATAGTCCAAGGACTGGCCAGGTTATGATGGAAAATCAAATCCATCACATATCAGGGAGTGGTCAAAGACTCATTAGTACTTGCAGAGGGAATCACAACCCTACCCCAGCAAGAGCCAGGGGAGCAGACACTGGTTTCCATGCTGTCCCACCCTAGTGAACTTTGCATAGGTGAATTTGGTTTGATGCTGACCCACTCAGGCCCACTGAGGCTCCAAGGTTCCTCTTAGTATGATCCCTTGGGGTTCACTTCTCACTCCACTGTCCAAAGCTTGGGTTTTGCCCTGGAGAAATGGTCCCATCCTCCTTTCCCCACTGGCAAGTGAAACACATCCAAGAGTTGCTGCCAGTACCTATAGTAGTTTATTAAAGTAGTCTGCATCTCTGACAATTCCAAATGCTCTTAGAGGTCCTCTCAATTACTCAATTTATGTTCATCTATCAACAGACACAAACTCTTTAGGCAGAGCACGGACTCTGCCCGGCACTGCTTATTGATGAGAAGACAGTTATTGATGAGTAGTGCAGATTATGAGTGCTATTAATCAACAGATGACACAAATGAGGAAAGGATTCCACAACTCAAAGAGGAAAGAAAATAAAACTTTGACATCTCACTATTTAATGTCTGCTATATTACACTTTTTCTCTGCCTTGCTAGAAATAACACGTTCTGAACCCAATCTTGAATAAAGAACGGACACATTAAAACTCCCTGGAGGAGTATCTGGGAAAACAAAAGAGGAAAGAAATGTCTGAGTAATTGAAATAATAAAACTGTCAGTAAAAAAACTGTCCTACTAGGGTAAATAAAAAATTTTCCTTTTAACAAGCAAAACCTATTAAAAAATAAAATGTATGCAATATGTTTCTTCAGCAAGCTGCACCACTTAGCATATCATAAATAGCACAGTAAAACTTTCTTTAAAAACAAACCTAATAAAGGGAAAATAACAAATGATTACAGTCATTAAATACATATGGACTGGGAGCTTGCCATTACATGAACACTAGGTAATTCAGCCACTCCAGGCAATAATCTGTTTGAATAATGCCATGAAGTCACTTCCTAGGGAAGTTTGGAACCTAAATGGGGGAGAATGCTACCACTAAAAATGAATACATTCAACTTGGAAAATGAAAAGGAACATTAGAAGAAAAAAAAAAAGAAACCAGATAATCCTCCTATTAAGTGCTAGGCAAACAAACCAAATAGCTTGCTAAAATATTGGCACTGAATTGAAACTGCAGGAAAGGTGAAGCTCACCCAGCATCTGAAGTCCACCAGCAGCCTGAATTAAATCCCTTTCTTTCCTAGTTTCTCACAACAGGAGCTGCATTTCTCACCTATACATATATATACATATATATATATATATATACACACATATATATGTATGCACAGAGTGTTGCTCCAAGCCCCTGCCTGACCCATTGTGTGCTTTGCCAAGGGAAAACAGACACACCTCAACCTCACCATTCACTGAAGGCAGATACAATTTTATCAAATCTGGCTCCTATTAGCTGATTGTCTTTTTATATTTCCCCTGCAGTCTTTTTTTTTCCTGTGGATTGATTGCACTGAAAATCGAGCCCACACAGTAATTAATATGATGGAATACAGCACAATTCCCCATGAAAATGCAGTGCATGCTGTTTTGCAGTTTCATACAGTTACTTTTGTTATGTTCAAGCCATGAACTGCTTTAGTAGATACTCATTTACATCACTTGCTTTCCTGAACAAGGAAACTCTCCTTCGATCTTTACAGAGAGTATACTTCCACAAAACTTCTTCATTAAACTGAGGGAATTTCCCTCCTTGCCAGCTCATTCCCCAACCTCCCTAAGCCTCATTCTTTAATTGAAAGCTTTTCTTAGTCAGATTTAGTCCAGTGGATCTACTGTACCAAGGCTCAATCTGTTTATAATTTTATTTCAACACACGGAAAATATTTGCAACCTCTAAAATGATGCACTGCAAAGCAGAGCTGAATCCAAGCACTCAAGAGGAACAGCCAGTATATTTGCAGCCACTTGCTTATTCAGAGTGTCGACAGCATTCCAGGTGTATGCAGAGTCAAGGGACTCGTGCTCCTATTTATTTGTGTGGTGACTCAGTGTTATGGTACAGGAGGATTTGCATTACATGTTTGCACTCATCTATAGTGTCTCCCTGCTGTGGGCAAGATTTCTGGCTGAGGTTCACCTCCCCGGGATGCTCTTCAACTCAGCACCCAAGGCCATGGCTACTTTCCATATGGAGCTTATGTCCATATGGCTTTTCTCCTCCAAAATAGGGTTAACTCAACCGTAATGTCATTGGGAATGCTGCTGCAGTGCCCAAGGTCTGACATAAGTCAATGTTGTTACAGGAGCAAACCAGCAAAGGCAGCTGTGGGAGAGCATCTGAGCTCTAAACTCACGGTGGAGATATGGCCTGGTGCTGGTCTTGATCCCGACCTCCTCTACCCCGCTGAGATGGGACTTGGCATCTGCACTGAACAGACCTGGGCACCCACAAAGCGCTGATGCCATTTGTTTGTTCCAGCCTTTAATATCCTGGGATAACTATTTTCTTTTTAATGGTAGCACCAGCTTTGCCCTCTCTATGGCAATTCTGAGGCACAGTTGAAACTGCAGGCAGCAAGAGCAGAATTGGGTCTTTGTCTTAAAGAAATTTAAGACAAAATTTTCGGTCCAGAAAGAGAGGGTAGGGGAGTTTTCTCATTAGTGGAAGAGGACTGCTCCTGTTTTGTAGCTGGCACTGGCTCATGGAGCTGGACTCACAAACAACAGCAAAAATAAGTTTTTTCCCCAGCTGATCTGAGTCTTGGTTCCCCACAAAGAAAAAGGAGGACTGGCCAAGTTCAGCTACCTGAAAAGCATTTAACCTTGGAGCAGCTCAAGTGTCATGCTGTGATACAGAGTAGCATTAGCTCTTCCCAGGGACTCAGCAAAGTGGCCACAACTGCATCTTCTGTACAGACGCCTGTGTGGACTGCCTGGATGGAGACTGTGTGGTTCCAACCCTTGGTCCTTGCTCAGCCACCAAACAGTGGGTCTCCCCTGTTCATCAAGCATCATGGGGAAAGCCCAACACTTGGAGAAGGGCTTCAGCTGGGAGTTCACATTGCACGTGGACACTCCAGCACATGCCCTGCCTGGCTCCAGCAATACAGGAAACAATTTCAAAACAATGACCAGAAGATTCATTTAGTTTAGAATGAAAAGAAATCCCAAACCGAGCTATAAATATGAATACTTTTCACTTCTACTACACCTTTTACCTGAGGCTACATGCCTTTACTACATATCATTGACTATCCACATGAGGAAAGCCAGAATAGACATTATTTCCATTTTTTCACTGCAGAAAATAAAGACAGTAACTTTCAGACTTGATCCTTTGAAACAACCAGGACATACAATAATGTCCTCTTCCATGAGCCCTTACCCCACTAAGAATCACAGAATCGTTTAGATTGGAAAAGACCCTTAAGATCATCAAGTCCAATCATTTACCAAGCACTGCCAAGCCCACCACTAAACCATGTCCCCAGGTGCCACATCTACGTATCTTTTCAAAACCTCCAGGAATGGTGACTCTGCCACTGCCCTGGGCAGCAGCCTGTGCCAGGGCTTGACAACTCTTCTGGTGAAGAAATTGTTCCTAACATCCAATTTAAACCTCCCCCGGCACAACTTGAGGCCACTTCCTCTTGTCCTATCGCTTGTTACTTGGAACAAGAGGTCGATCCTTACCTCACTAGAACCTCCTGTCAAGGAGTTGTAGAGAGTGACCAAGTTCTCCCTGAGCCTCCTTTTCTCCAGGCTGAACACTCCCAGCTCCCTCAGATGCTCCTCATCAGACGTGTGCTCCAGACCCTTCCCCAGATCCATTGCCCTTCTCTGGACACGCTCCAGCACCTCAATGTGTGTCTTGTAGTGAGGGGCCCAAAACTGACCCCAGGATTCGAGGTGTGTCCCCAGGTGCTGAGCACAGAGGGACAATCATTGTCCTAGTCCTGCTGGACACATTATTGTTGATACAAGCAAAATGCAGTGCCACTAGCACCCAGATTGAAGAGGGGCAGTAGGACACAACTTGACCACATGATAACAGAGACATTATCTGCAATTCTGGTGGGGAAACACAGATTGCACTCTGTTTCCAGGGTTTCCTGAGATAAAAGCTTCCATATCTAATGTTTCATTAAGGAGACTTCATGTATCAATCAAATGATCAGATAATGCAGATCTCTCAGAGGATCTAGCCTGGTGCTGGTGTTTGCAATAAATTCCTACAGCTCTCTAGTCTGGGGACAGCTATAGAAGGTTTGTCCAGCTCTCATGAGGACGAACATGGAAAACAGAGACAGATGTTAAAAACAGAA